CCAGAAAAGTGTAAGAGAAGGAGATTCTCTACAGAATGCAAATTTCCCCCAAAGAGATGGCTTTGCAGGACTATCTTAAAGTGTGTCAAAGAAAATATATTATAGGGTAAAATACTATGATTTCCTTCAGGGACTGCTATCTGTCATGTGGTGCTATATCAGAGTCTGTTGGAGTTGGGTATCTTACTGATACAAAAAGCCTGTTTTGTCAGTCTTATGACCTGTATTCTAATGCTAATGTTGGTCAGCTGTGCCTAAACTCTGACGGGAGGAGAGTATGACAAGTTATGTCCGATCCCCTCCTTCCCGTCATGACCTGAATTAGTTTTTCATGTTTATTTTGGATCCTGTTGGCCAACAGGGGAGTCCATTCAGTCTGTTGTGGGGGCTTAGAATTTTATTTTTGGTTTACAATTAAAATGTCAATTTTCAAACATGGGATCATAAGGACAATGTTTCATCACAATTTTTTGGTGAAATCTAACAGTATTCTTGCCCAGTTGTTTCATAAAAACTGGTAAGGAAAAGACTAAAAATAAATTCTTCTGAGGCCAGGCGCAGTGGCTCACACCTGTAATCCCAGAACGTTGGGAGGTCGAGGTGGGTGGATCATGAGGTCAGGAGATCAAGACCATCCTGGCCAACATGGTGAAACCCCAATTCTACTAAAACACAAAAAATCAGCTGGGTGTGGTGGTGCACCCCTGTAGTCCCAGCTACTTGGGAGGCTGAGGCAGGGGAATCACTTGAACCTGGGAAGTGGAGATTGCAGTAAGTGGAGATCACGCCACTACACTCCAGCCTGGCAACAGAGCAAGGCTCCATCTCAAAATAAAAATAAATAAATAAATAAATAAAATAAATAATTCTGTTAACCTAGAATATTCTCTCCACAAATTCAGAAAATAAAACAATTTTATTACTGAATAAGCGTTAAACCAGACTGTGATGCCCATCACAGGTGATCCATTAATGAGATGCAAAGAGAAATACAGCCTTTTTTTTTTTTTTTTTTTTTTAAGACAGAGTCTTACTCTGTCGCCCAGGCTGGAGTGCAGTGGTGCGATCTCAGCTCACTGTAACCTCTGCCTCCCCCGTTTAAGCGATTCTCCTGCCTCAGCCTCCCAAGTAACTGGGACTATAGGCATGTGCCACCACACCTGGCTAATTTTTTTGTATTTTTAGTAGAGACGGGGTCTCGTCATGTTAGCTAGGATCGCCTCGAAATCCTGACCTTGTAATTCGCCCGCCTAGGCCTCCCAAAGTGCTAGGATTATAGGCGTGAGCCATGGCGTCTGGCCAAAGCCTCCTTTTTATATAGCCTGGCAGATACAATCCATTGCATACATGCTCTCAAGATAAACAGTAACTCATCCTCATGTAAAAGGACTTGCTATGCGTTTTTTTTTTTTTTTTTTTTTTTTTTTTTTTGAGACAGGGTCTCATTCTGTCATCCAGGCTGGAGTGTACTGGTATGATCTTGGCTCACTGTAACCTCCATCTCCTAGGTTCAGGTGATTCTCATGCCTATGCCTCCCGAGTAGCTGGAATTACAGACATGTGCCATCATGCCCAGCTAATATTGGTATTTTAGTAGAGACAGAGTTTCACCATATTGGCCAGGCCGGACTCAAACTCCTTCTTTCGATTTCTGTGTGGCATCAAGTGATCCGCCCGTCTCAGCCTCCCCCAGAGTACTGGGATTACAGGTGTGAGCCACCGCGCCTGGCCTGCTATGCAGTCTTAAACACTCATCCTAAATCCACCTGGAAATCAAGGTGGCCATCCATGCTAGTTAATTACCTGTATCCGATGAAAAAATAAAACTTCTCATATCTCCTTGACGAGCAGGTAGTAACAGCTCAAGGTGCCTAGGCTAAAATCGCTAGGCAACAGGAAGATAGGGACACTACCTTCCTCGAGGTTTACATTTCAAAGACAAGACTCTCAGGCTCTTAAGAAAAAAATTCCTGGGTTGTGATCCAGAGTGGTGGCTCATGCCTGTAATCCCAGCACTTTGGGAGGCCAAGGCCGTTGGATCGCCTGAAGTCAGGAGTTCAAGACCAGCCAGACCAACAAGGTGAAACCCCGTCTCTACTAAAAATACGAAAATTAGCCAGGCATGGTGGCAGGCGCCTGTAGTCTCAGCTACTCAGGAGGTTGAGATGGGAGAAATGCTTGAACCCGGGAAGGGGAGGTTGTAGTGAGCCAAGACCACACCACTGCACTCCAGCCTAAGTGACAGAGCAAGATTCTGTCTCCAACAACAACAAAAAATTCCTGGGTTGTAATCTTGGCAAGAAGTTCGTTTACATTTTTAAAAGATTTAGATACATATCAAAGGCACAAAATAAGTTATTTATATTACAAGGTTTATCAAGGAAATACTGTTTAAAAGAGAGGAGAAAAGGTTAATTTACTTTTTGGTCAAATAAGATAAATTTAATTTTTTTTTTAGAAAATCCATACAGTGAGGGCTGGGCATGGCGGCTCACATCTGTAGTCCCAGCACTTTGGGAGGCCAAGGCAGGCGGATTGCTTGAGACCAGGAGTTCGAAACCAGCCTGGGCAACATGGCTACTACAAGTACAAAAATTAGCTGGGCATGGTGGTTTGTGCCTATTGTCCCAGCTGCTCTGGAGGTTGAGGCACAAGAACCGCTTGTGCGGTGGGAGGCAGAGGTTGCAGTGAGCTGAGATTGAGCCATTACAATCCACTCTGGACAAGAGCGAGACTCTGTCTCAAAAAATAAAAAACAAAAAAAAAAACCCAAAAAAACCCCAAAGAGCCTCTTTTCCATCTCCCCGCCACAGGGTTGTCTTCAGTAATTTCATTCGCTTTTTTCCTCAGGGTTTCCAGGGTTTCTGGGTCCCAGAAGGGGAAGTTCTCTTCAAGGTACAGAAACCATGACTCCGCAGAGAACCGCAGAGACGGCAGCATGACCAGAGCCCTGTCAGGTGCGGGGAGGCTGCTGGGCTGAGACTCGGGCTGAACTTCCGCTGCAGGTCGACTTATTCCCATCGGCACCAAAGCCGCTGGAGGGGGTCATCCAACAGCAAAGGAAGCGGGGGCGCGGCTTGGAGGCTGTTTCAGAAGGTCCCACTGAGCCGAGGACTCAAGGCCTGGCCACAGCCCTCCCAAGTGAGGCCCAAATCATATTTCACCACGCTCAGAAAACCTTGTCTGCTCATTTCAGTCCACAGCGGCTTTGCTTTATGATCTCTCTTGCACTGTCCAACCAAGAAAGTTCCAAACCTGAATGGATTCCAGTGAGGGAGTTAAATCAGGCCCCACCTCAGTTTCTGAACTACAATCAATAGGGCTGGGTCCCAGCATCTGCATCTTAATGTTCCTTCGTGTCATCCCGAAAGGCTGGTATTTGCAAAACCTTTTGGGGAGCAAAGGGTTTTTTAGAGACAGGCCTCACTCTGATGCCCAGCCTGGAATGCAGTGGTGGGATCACAGCTCACTGCAGCCTTGAACTCCTGGCCGCAACAAATCCTCCCACCTTGGCCAACCAAAGTGTTGGGATTACAGGAGTGACCACTGTGTCTGGCCAGGAAAGCCCTTCTGTTTCACTTGAATGATATTTTGGCAGCATACCTACAGCCATTGTTGTATGAAACTGCATCATTGCCGGAAAAGAAAAGGTCAGAGGTGGCTATTTTGCTTTTTTTCTGAATGTATCAGACCGACCAAATCTGGGCTAGCCTTTTTTTTTTTTTTTTTTTTTTTGAGATGGTGTCTCGCTCTGTCACTCAGGCTGGAATGCAGTGGCGTAATCTCGGCTCACTGCAACCTCTGCCTTCCAGGTTCAAGTGATTCTCCTGCCTCAGCCTCCCAAGTAGCTGGGATTACAGATGTGCACCCCAACACCCGGCTAATTTTTTCTGTATTTTTAGTAGAGACGGATTTCAACACGTTGGCCAGGCTGGTCTCGAACTTCTGACCTCTGGTGATCTGTCTGCCTCGGCTTCTTAAAGTGGTAGGATTACAGGCATGTGCCACCGTGCCTGGTTTGCCCATTTTTTGACAATGTGTCAACATCATGTAAGATGGGCACTGCCTCAGTGTAGTGTGTCTAGAAAAGGTGGCCAGAAGAGAGAGGAATATGCAAACCAGGCTTGAAGATGAGTTAAATCAGAGCTTTTCATTCCACAAAAGAGAAATTTTAATGGGGTCAGAACATTGATCTTCTAATCTTTGAAAGCCTTTTAACTAGGAGAGAGACAGCAAACTGTTTGTTGTAGAAAGACCCACCCAGCTCTGACGGTTTAAAGGGTCATGAATGCAAATTTGAACTCTAGAAAAGCAGAGCTTCCTAACGATGGGACTTCCACAGCCTGGGATCTGCTTCCTCGTTCAGTTTGTGCCTTTCCCATGAGCGAGAGACTCCCAGGAGAGCCGCAGCCCGCTAGGAAGCCGTGTGGGACTCACTCACAGCTTCTTTTTTTTCAGACGGAGTTTTGCTCTTGTTGCCCAGGCTGCAGTGCAATGGTGCGATCTTGACTCGCTGCAGCCTCCGCACCCCGAGTTCAAGTGATTCTCCAGCCCACCACTCCCAAGTAGCTGGGATACAGGCACCCGCCACCATGCCTGGCTAATTTTTTTGTATTTTTAGTAGAGATGGGGTTTCACCATGTTGGCCAGGCTAGTCTCAAACTCCTGACCTCAAGTGATCCACCCACTTGGGCTTCCCAAAGTGCTAGGATTACAGGCGTGAGCCACTGAGGCTGGCCAGGAACCCCCAGGTTTTTCGGATGGTCTCTGAATGTCATACAACTTTTATTTTTTATCAAAAAAATTTTTTTGACACAACATCTTGCTGTATTGCCCAGACTGGAGTGCGGTGGCCAGATCATAGCTTACTGCAGCTTCCAACTCCTGGGCTCAAGCCATCTTCCTGTCGCGTGAGTCTCCCAAGTAGCTGCAACATAGGTGCCAGCCACCACACCTGGCTAATTTTGTTTGGTTTTGTTTTTTTAGAGATGGGGTCTTGCTATGTTGCCTACACTGGTCTTGAACTGCTGGCCTCAGGCAATCTTCCTCCCTTGGCCACCCAAAGTGCTGGGATTACAAGCACGAGCCACTGCACACAGCTGAGATTTTTCGATTTAGTCTTTTTGTACATGTGATATTAATAGAATCCATAAATGGTAGGGAAATTTCTGAGTTTAGAGCAATACATATGATAGAAAATGTGATATATATGGACTAGAGTTGCTTAGCCGAACTGGAGGGGCTGGCTTTAGGTAATCCACGGACTCCCTGAAATTGGGGACACCAGTAGAAATATGTGTGAGCTCATGGGCAGATTCCTATGATTTTCAGGCCTCAAAATGTTTCCTCTTAGGGCAGAGGATGCGTGTACCGCCAGTACAGAATCTCGGACAGTGAATGTCAGTGAACATTCGGCAGAAAAGCTCTGCCAAATTGAGTGTTCTGATGTGACTTTTTCATCAAGTCAATGTTCCTGGGATCTCTTGTACATGATCATCTCACTCTTGTAAGGTTTCATTGTTTCTGCTTACCCTAGTTCTTTCCCACCCTGTTCTCTGAAATGGGCATGTACAGAGAAGAGGAGACCCCAACATGCTTCAGGCTTTGAGTGGAGAGAACACAGCCTCTGCTGGGACAGGGAACAAAGGGATACGGAGACCCTGAAGATGCTTGTGGACAGTGGTCTGAGGTCGGGACAGTGGCAGGAGATACCATTCACTCAGCATCTCCGGGACAAGAGATCAGCCTGGCAGTTACATGTGTTTTTCTTCAAACTGGTTGCCAGGTTGGAATGGCCAATGACATCAGAGATTCCAACCTTCCTGATTGGAGGACCGGACTCCGTGGGCGCCTGGGAGCTGAGGTGGACAACAGTATCTTCTCAGAGCTGTTCGCCACTCCTGACTTCTCCCAGCCTCGAGAATTCATAAAACACTTCTGGCTCCTAGCAGAGTCCAGAAAAAGGCCTTGGACAGAACAGAGACTATGTTCTGTGGGATGGAACAGATTTTGGGAAAGATCACGACCCTGCTGCCCGAGGATAAGGAGGAGAGCCCCCAGTCAAACACCTCGGGGTACTCCCTCCAGGAGGTGGTGGATGATGAAGTGTCGGGACCATCAGGTGAGGTGACTGGAGCAAGAAGAGGTGTGATAGGATTGACTAAGACGAAGAAAGGGGGCTGGGTGCAGTGGCTCACGCCTGTAACCCCAACACTTTGGGAGGCCGAGGCAGGCAGATCACCTGAGGTCAGGAGTTCAAGACCAGCCTGGCCAACATAGTGAAACCCCATCTCTACTAAAAGTACAAAAATTAGCTGGGCAGTAGTCGTGCGTGCCTATAATCCCAGCTACTCGGGAGGCTGAGACAGGAGAATCGCTTGCGCCTGGGAGGAAGAGGTCGCAGTGAGCCGAGATTGCGCTACTGCACTCCAGTCTGGGTGAGAGAGTGAGATGCTGTCTCAAAAAAAAGAAGGGTCAGAGGTCAGGAAGGAGAACCTGAGGAGGGTGTGTGGGAAGAATGGAGAAATTCAGGCCATGCAGTGGCTCACACCTGTAATCCCAGCACTTTGGGAGGCCAAGGCAGGCGGATCACTTGAGGCAAGGAGTTTGAGGTCAGCCTGGCCAATATGGTGAAACCCCATCTCTACTAAAAGTACAAAATTGAGCTGGGCATTATGGCAGGCACCTGTAATCCCAGCTACCAGAGAGGCTAAGGCAGGAGAATAACTGGAATCCGCGAGACAGATGTTGCAGTGAGCTGAGATTGCACCACTACACTCCATCCTGGGAGACAAAGTTAGATTCTGTCTGAAAACAAAACAAAACAACAAAACAAAACAAAAAAAAAAGAGGGACTCAGAGAGCCAGGGACCAGGGAAGGACGTGAGGAAATGTTCTGAGGACAGAGAAACGGAAGAATGGGGAGGAGAAGGAGCAGCACATGGGGTTGACAGAGGAGAAAGTCAGAAAGATGGCTTGGAGAAGCCAGCAGTCTGCAAGGCTGGGGAGGATGGAGAGTGCTTTGGGGTTTGGGGTCGGGGTCTAAGGTGATCAATTGCAGAAGCATTACACGCTAGTCTGGTTTCTTTACTCAGCCCTTGGGGTAGATCCCAGCCCCTCATGTAGGTCCCTTTGCTGGAAAAGGAAGAGGGAGTGGTTGGATCAATCTGATGAGGAGCCAGAGAAGGAGCTCTCCCCTGAACCTGAGGAGACCTGGGTGGCGGAGACGCTGTGTGGCCTCAAGATGAAGCTGAAGCGACGGCGAGTGTCGCTCGTGCTCCCTGAACACCACGAGGCCTTCAACAGGCTGCTTGGTAGGAGGACACCCCAGAGAGCACCTCCAATCCTGTTCTTTCTAAAAAGAGGAAATTTCCAATAACCACACTTTTCCAATGGGAAAAATATGCCCCCAGTGGGTGAGCTCTCCATGTGGGAGGACTCTGAAGTGATCACTAATGAGGGACGCTTAGGAGACGATAGAGGATTAGGCTAGACTTGATAAAGATGGGCGCTTGGGATAAGAAAGCTTGGTTTTGGGCCAGGTGCGGCGGCTCATGCCTGAGATCCCAGCACGTTGGGAGGCTGAGGCAAGAGGACTGCTTGAACTCACGACTTTCAGTCTGCAGTGAGCTATGACTGCACCACTGCACTCCAGCCTGGGTGACAGAGCAAAACCCTGTCTCAAAAAAAAAACCAAGGCTGGGCATGGTAGCTCATGACCCGAGATCGCGCCATTGCATTCCAGCCTAGCTCACAGAGAGAGACTGTGTCTCAAAACAAATAAATAAATAAAAATAAAAATCAAATAAAGAAAAACAAAATCAATAAACAAAGACAGCGGTTTCAGCTGTGCCCTCTGAAACTTAATGTCTCTTACTAACTTTTCTAAACCTAAGTGTCTCCATCCATAGTGGGGGATACCAAGGCCATGGTCACACCCTGATGTGACTGTCTCATGAGGAAATGATGGGAATTCCTTTATGACTCTGCAGCGGTCCCTCCGGGTCTGCTGGGAGGGTGTCCTGGCTTATTCCCAGCCCTACATCCTGTAGATTCTCACACCCAGGGCCTCCTTCGGCCTCTTCCCAGGGGAGTCTCAGAGCAGGAGCCTCTCTCCCTTGCCCAGTGAAAGTCATTCTCCCCTCTCCCATCCCCCTCTCCCGTGGCCACAATCCTGAGACTTCCCCCCGGGAGGCACACTTCTCCTCGCTGCCCTGCTGCTCCCACGGAAACCCTGCCCTGCTTCTCACGCTGACATCTGCTCTCTAATCACAGAGGATCCTGTCATTAAAAGATTCCTGGCCTGGGACAAAGATCTGAGGATGTCGGACAAGGTAAGGTTGTTCTCCATGTAACTGTGCTCCTGTTCTAATGCACGGCCCGGGGGAGGGCACCGCTTTCAAACCCACAGTTCTCCCTCCACCACCTCCCAGCAGATGCTCCTTTTTTTTTTTTTTTTTTTTTTTTGTGAGACAGAGTCTTGCTCTGTTGTCCAGGTTGGAGGGCAGTGTCTTGATCTTGACTCACTGTAGCCGACGCCTCCCAGGTTCAAGTGATTGTCCTGCCTCAGCCTCCAAGCAGCTGGGATTACAGACGTGAACCACCACGCCTGGCTAATTTTTGTGTTTTTAGTAGAGACGGGGTTTTGCCATGTTGGCCAGGTTGGTCCTGAACACCTGACCTCAGGTGATCCACCCACCTTGGCCTCCCAAAGTGCTGAGATTACAGACGTCAGCCACTGTGCCCGACCAGCTCCCACAGTCTTGAGTCTTGGCACTCAAATATTTTTTTTTTCTGAGAGTCTAGCTCTGCTCCCCAGGATGGAGTGCAGTGGCATGATCACAGCGCACTGAAGCCTCTAATTCCTGGGCTCAAGCAATCGTCTTTACTCAGTCTCCTGAGGAGCTGGGACTAGCACATGCCACCATGCTGAACGAATTTTTGAAATCTTTGTAGAAACAGGGTCTCTCTATGTTGCCCAGGTTGTTCTTGAACTGTTGGGCTCACGTGATCCTCCTGTCTCCACCTCTCAAAGTACCGGCATCACAGGCTTGAGCCGCCACTCCCGGCTGTTCTTGGTCTTTTTATTTGTCAGCATCTCTCTCAGGACTCTGCTGGTCTCTTGCCAAGTGAACGAATAGCCCATCTCTCCTACGGGTCCTCTGGGATCTCAGCCCTGGGCCACAGTCTGGCCGCAGTCCTGGAGCTCCTGGCCCCTCTACTCTCAGCTCTTTGGGACACTTCTCTGCCTGGCACACAAAAGACCCTCCTGACACCAGCCCACCTAGACACACCCCCTCCAAAGATCCCATCTGGAGTCCACCATCCTGGAAGCATCACCGAAAACCCTTCCTCCGGCTTCTCAGATTTGCATCCAACCTTCGAATATCCCTCCAACCCGCCATTTCCAAATAAGTACAGCTACCCCAACACTGAGGTCCCTTCTCTGAGGTGCAGCCCTTCCCCAGACCCTCATTCCCCCTCTCCACAATCTTCCTCTTCCAAGATGTGACCTCTCCCTCTCTGTGTTCCTTTCTCTCCATCAGTATCTCCTGGCTATGGTCATAGCATATTTTAGCCGGGCCGGCCTCTTCTCCTGGCAATACCAACGCATTCATTTCTTCCTGGCTCTGTGAGTGGTTTGCTTCCTCCTATCCATCAATATCCAATGCCCTGGGACAGCGGGGGAAGTGGGATTCCAGCCTTTCATTTATCCTTTCACCTATTTGTCCTCTTTACTCTGTGTACAAAAAAGACAGGATTATACTATCTTGTTCTTAGACTGTTGTTTCTAAAAAGAAACTCAGGCTGGGCGCGGTGGTTCATGCCTGTAATCCCAGCACTTTGGGAGGCCGAGGTAGGCGGGTCACCTGAGGTCAGGAGTTCGAGACCAGCCTGGCCAACATGGCCAAACCCTGTCTCTACTAAAAATAGAAAAATTAGCCAGGCACGGTGGTGTGCACCTGTAATTCCAGCTACTCAGGAGGCTGAGGTGGGAGAACTGCTTGAACTCAGGAGGGGGAGGCTGCAGTGAGCTAAGGTTGAGCCACTGCACTCCAGCCTGGGTGACAGAGTGAGACTTTTTCCCAAAAAAAAAAAAAAAAAAAAAGCCAAAAAAAAAAAAAAAAAAAAAAAAACTCCAACACCGGTGTACAAATAAAAGAATAAAACAAAAGGAACCATAAACCACTCCTAAGGGGAGAAGAAAAGGGAAAAGGAGCAGAGAGGCGGACACAACACTTCCCCCAGCAAGCAGCCTTTCTGATTCTTCTCTCTCTCCTTCCCACATCAACCACAAACACCATCGACCTCCTCCGGGTTCCCATGATGGAGACCACAGTTCAGGTCCCCCCTGCATCACTCGAATCCACTGTCAAATGCTCCCTGACGGGGTCTCCTGGAGTCTCTCCCCAAGCCAGGGGGCTTCCTAGTGCAGCCTGAGCATCTTTCCAAAGCACAACGCCCTCACTGCCCACCTGAACAACTTCCTTAGCAGACGTCTTTCTTTTTTTCTGAGATGGAGTCTCACTCTGTCATCCAGGCTGGAGTGCAATGGCACAATCTTGGTACACTGCAAGCTCTGCCTCCTGGGTTCACACCATTCTCCTGCCTCAGCCTCCCGAGTAGCTGGGACTACAGGCGCCGCCACCACGCCCGGCTAATTTTTTTTTTTTGTATTTTTAGTAGAGACGGGGTTTCACTGTGTTAGCCAGGATGATCTCGATCTCCTGACCTTGTGATCCACCTGCCTCGGCCTCCCAAAGTGCTGGGATTACAGGCATGAGCCACACCACTCGGCCTAGCTGATGTCTTTCTAAATCGAGGCCAGGGTCCACAGTGCCAATTCCACCCTCTCTACAATCTCTAGAACCACACTGGCTCGCCATCTTGGTGTTTCCTGGCTTGGCTTCACTGCTCCTTCCAAATGCCCTCCACTGACTTTGTGTTTGTGTTTTCTGTCTGGGTGTCCCGCACACATGTGGTTCTGAAGGGAAGGACACAGTCCTTGAAGTCAGTTCACCCCACAGCCTCTGTCATGCCTTCCCTCATCTTCCAACTTCGGCATGCCCGTAGCTCTCCAGTTACATCCTATGATAATGTGACATTGGGATTAGGTCATCTGCCCTGATTTCTCCCAGTCTCATTAGACTAGATGAATGTAGAAGGCAGGGTCCTGGCAAAATATCAATGTATCCAATTTCTTTTATTTTTTTGAGACAGAGTTGCCCTGTCCCACAAGCTGGAGTGCAGTGTTGATATCAAAGCTCAGTGCAGCCTCTATATCCTGGGCTCAAGGGATCCTCCCACCTTAGCCTCTTGATTAGCTCCGACTACAGGGCTGTGCCACCACACCTGGACATTTATTTATTTATTGAGACAGTGTTGCTGTGCCTCTCAGGCTGGAATGGAGTGGCCCAATCTCAGCTCACTGCAACCTCTGCCTCATGGGTTCACACAATTCTTATGCTTCAGCCTCTTGAGTAGCTAGGACTAACGGCTGTGCCACCACACCAGGTTGATTTTTGCATTTTTAGTAGAGATGGGGTTTCTCCATGTTGACCAGGCTGGTCTCGAACTCCTGGTCTCAAGCAATCTACCGGCTTGAGCCTTCCAAAGTGCTGGGATTACAGGCATGAGCCACCACGTCCGGCGTATATTTTATATTTTTAATAGAGACGAGGGTCTTGCTATGTTGCCCAGCCCCATCTCAAACTCCTGGCCTCAAGTGATCCTCCTGCTTCGGCCTCCCAGTGTGCTGGGATTCCAAGCGTAAGCCATCACTCTTGGTCACCAGTTGGGTTTTTGTCTCTATCCTGAAGGAGTGGGAGATGCCCTTCAGCAGGTCTCTGTCCAGCAGAGCCCTCTGAGGAAGGCGTGACTCTCTGCAGGGTGGGTGTCAGTCCTTAGCTGAGGACGGTCCCCTGCCCTCCTCTGGGAAGCTGACCTCAGCCGGAGGTCTCTCCTGGTGGTGCCCCTAAGCAGTAACCTGATTTCTGTCCCCAGCTACCTGGCCAATGACATGGAGGAGGACAGCGAGACCCCCAAACAAAACATCATCTACTTCCTGTACAGGAAGAACCGCTCTCAGATACCCTCGTTCCATAAGCGTCGGTTCCAGTTCTTCTATTCCATGCGCTCGGGGGCCGAGAAGAAACCCTCTCAGAAAGCCTTGTTCCATAAGCTTCGGTTCCAGTTCTTCCATTCCATGCACTGCAGGGCCTGGGTTTCCCTGGAGGAGTTGGAGGAGGTGGGTGGGGCATGGGGAGGTGAAGATGGGGGGGAATCGGGTGGGTTGGAGGCTGGATGAGGGGAGGGAGGGGTATCCTGGCGAGTCCCCATCTTCTCAAAGGGCATTTGTTTTTCCAGATCCAGGCTTACGACCCAGAGCACTGGGTGTGGGCGCGAGATCGTGCCACCTTTCCTAGAGCTCCAGGGACCATGGAGGCCTGAGGTCATCGGCCTGAGAGAAGGTACATCTGCGTCCTCCGGGGTAAAGAAAGAATATTGGGGTCTATTTCGGAAATCCGAGGAACCAATTGCTTGATCCAGCTTCAAGCCTGGGCAACATGGCAAGATTCCCTCTCACCAAAAATACAAAAATTAGCTAGGCATTGTGGGAGGCATCTCTACTCCCAACTACTCAGGAGGCTGAGGCGGGAGGATCGCTGGAGCCTGGGAGGTTGGGGCTGCAGGGAGCCCTGATCCTGCCGCAGCACTCCAGCTAGGGCAACAGAGTGAGACCCTGACTCAAAAATAATCACAAATACTGAGTTTGGGGAGCTTCATTATGATTGATGCACTTGAATTACCGATTTGGGTTGAGGGTTCAGTGGAGCTTTGGTTTACATCTTGTGCAGCTGACCACGTTGAGCAGAGCATGAGACTTCATCATGAGGAGGTAGGATGATGGATTAGGCTTCTAGACTCGTGGTTCGTGATGTTGTCACATTAGAAATGGATCTAGCATGGTTACAAGTTTAGCTCTGAAGTGACACAAAAGGCCCCAGCTGTGATGAGGTCCAAAGCCACATTCTCTGAGGGTGCCCTACTCCCTGGGCAGACCCACCCAAAGTCCTTGCTATAAAGCAGATCACTGGGGCTGACCTTGGGTGTACTGAGTTTTGGAGTCAGGGTCACCAAAGTGCAAGTATCACAGTTGAACACAATGGTTCAGAAGCAGGGTATAGAATGAAAGTCAGGAGATAAAATTGCATTTCCCAATTGCTCTGAACTCTAGTTAGACTTGACGTGGGACGTGAATAACCTTCCTGTCTAGAGAGCTGCCTCCCTGAAGTGTGACATCCTCTCTCTCACTTCCAGAACACCGGGCCCAGGGAGATGCGGATTTTCAGCAGAAAGTTTATTCCAATGCTAATGGCAGACACCAGGAAGGAGGAGAGCAGCCATTTGTGCAGATCATCTACAAGAACCTGGACTGTTCTAGATGGAGCTGAACACAGTGATCATGTTGTCCTCTAAGGACTGGGGGGCTACTTCTAGGAATCCATAGAGAACAGTGAGAAACCAGGGGTGTTTCTGGTTCCACCCCTTCCTGCAGCACCACCTCCCTTTTGATATTGCTGAATTTCAACCTCCCTGGGGCCAAACCTGGAGGTCCTGTTTCCTATGGACTTGGTTGCCACAGTCCAGGAGCATTTGAAGGCACATGGCAGATACTCAGATTGGCACGGAATTCTTTGTGAAATATGAGTGCCATAGACCGTAACAGATAGCTTCATTCACACTATGCATTTTATTGGTTTGTTTGGAAAATGTGGGCCATTGAATTATTAATAGGTTTGTTTTAAATAGTTTGGAAATTGTTGTACTTTTGAAAACATGCTGTTCCTGTAGAGTTTTTTGATGAGAGTTATAGCTGTTATATATACATAAAGATAATTTTCTTTTCATTTTTAAGACAGAATTCTTTTTATCCTAAATCTTTTAAGTTGTTTTCTGTATTATTATATGCACCTCTGAAGCGAGTACACTTTTTATCTATGATACTTACATAATAATCTCTTCTATTTATAGCTATTGGTAGTTCCCCTAAGTTTTCATCATAGACATTTTTATTTGCTGTTTAGGTTTGTGACTGAATTGTGAGAATTCAAGTTGTGATTTTTAACATGTCTTAGATATATATACTAACATGTCTAATATATACTATATATTTTATTGGTTTATTTTGAAAAAGATGGGCATAGAATTATTACTACATTTATTTTAAATATTTTGTAAATACTGGTATTTTTGAATAGAAGCTGTTTCTATAAAGTTGTGTGATGGGTGTTATAACTGTTATACACACATAAATATCATTTTGTTTTCCTTTTTAAGAGAGGATTCTTTTTATCCTAAATCGTTTACCTTTCAATCTTTTTATCTATTATTACATGTGCTGCTGAAGGGAGCACACTTTTTATCTGTGATACTTGGTTAATGTATGTATTACATTTATAGCTATGCGGTAGTTCCCCTAAATTATTGTAAAAATAAATTTTTATTTGATATTTAGTGTACGTCTGAAATGTGAGAATTCAGATGTAATTTTTTACCTTGTATTGGCATGTTTGTATGTTACTTTAAAGAGGATGTGTGTTCTAAAGGAGGACATGGGCCGTGCGTTTTCAAGAGAACAGTGCAGTGCGTCTCTTGGGGAAACGTAATAAAGATGAACTTTTCTCACCTTCACAGCAAGTGTGATCATATTGGTCTGGATTGATTATTTGCTGTCGAGTGACATTTTTCCTTAATGGGGTTGGTGGTTATTTGAACATATTAATTAGCTCTGGAAGATAATCCTGTACTGTTTTTTACGTAGAATAAAACACAAGGCTGGGTGCAGTGCTCACACCTTCAATTCCAGCAGTTTTGGAGGTCATGGCGGGAGAATCACTTGAGGCCAGGAGTTTGAGGCCAGCCTCAGCAACATAGCATTTACATCTATTTTTAATTTTTAGTTTAAAAAAAAAAACAATAGAAGAGAAGGCTGATCCCAAGCTACAGGGTTTGTTTGTTTTGGATACAGACTCTTGCTCTGTCTCCCAGGTTGGAGTGCAGTGGCACAACCTTGGCTCCCTGTGACTTTCACCTCCAGGTTCAAGCCAATTCTCCTGCCTCAGCCTCCCAAGTAGCTGGGACTACAGGCACCCGCCTGTACGTCTGACTAACTTTTGTAAAAATAGTAAAGACAAGGTTTCAGCATGTTGGCCAGGCTGGTCTCCAACTCCTGACCTCAAGTGATCCACCCACCTCGGCCTCCCAAAGTGCTGGGATTACAGGTATGAGCTATTGCGCCTAGACTCCAAGCTAGAGTTTTAAAGCAGGAAATGAGAGAAATATATTGAGAGAAAAACCAGGTGGTAAGAAAACTCTAAAGGTGGCCAGGCATGGTGGCTCATGCCTGTGATCCCAGCAAGAGTTCAAGACCAGCCTGGCCAACATGGTGAAACCCTGTCTCTACTAAAAATACAAAAATTAGGCAGGCGTGGTGGTGCACGCCTGTAATCGGAGCTATTTGGGAGGCTGAGGCAGGAGAATCACCAGCAGAGATTGTGTCTCCCCACCCCCTCTCAAAAAAAAAAAAAAAAAGTTCCTGCAACAGTTAAAGCTGTTAAAGACAGGCAGTCTGCCATGCAATTCTTTGCAATTTTTCTTTTTTCTTTTTGGAGTTGGGGTCTTGTCCTGTCACCCAGACTGGGGTGCAGTGCTGCGGTCATAGCTCACTGTGGCCTCAGACTCAAGCTCAAGCCATCCTCTTACCTTGCCTCCCAAAGTGCTGGGATTATAAGCATGAGCCACTGCACCTGGCCTGTGTGATGCAATTCTGATGTCAACTCCCTGATGTTACATCAAATGCCACAGGTTAAGGCCACAAGCCCCCACTAGACTGCCCTCGCTTTAGATGTAAGCCGCAAGCTTGGGTGTCCTCAGACCACATGTACTTCTCACCAACTGCCTGCAAATCTGGAGGTTCCCACGGTGCCCTCAGGTTTGATAATTCACTATAACAACTCACAGAACTCAGAAAAGCAGTTTCTTTTTTTTTTTTTTTTTTTGAGATGGAGTCTTGCTCTGTCACTGGGGTGCAGTGGCCACCACGCTTGGCTAATTTTGTATTTGTATTAGAGACGGGATTTTGCCATGTTGGCCAGGCTGGTCTTGAACTCCTGACCTCAGGTGATCTGCCCACCCTGGCCTCCCAAGGTGCTAGGATTACAGGCATAGCCACCATACCCAGCCGACTTCTAGAATTTCAATAACAGAGATGTGGTTCAAGAAGACAAGGCCTTGACTGTTTCTACAGACTGACAAGACGTAATCTCTGTGGTCCATGCCCACGGTGCGATCTGGAAAATGGGGCCTTCTAAATGCCAACAACAAGGAAATCAAATGTGCAACAAACAGAAATACTAACATTGATGTGAGCCATGGAGAGGCCTAAACAGATTACTGCAGTCAGTCCATTTCCAAGGTCATCAAAGGGGTAACTCTAAAATAACAAATTTCAGACACCATGGCCCCAAATAGCTGCACGGGGTGGGGAAGTCCTCCACATGCCTCTGCTTCCTTCAGTACCTCTTTATGAACTAAGCCAAAGTACTTCCCTGGGAAATTTCCTCTTCTCTTTTCTTTTTTTTGAGATGGAGTCTTGCTCTGTCACCCAGGCTAGAGTGCAGTGGTGCAATCTCAGCTCACTGCAACCTCTCCCTCCCAGGTATTAGCAGTTCTCCCGCATCAGACTTCTAAGTAGCTGAGATTACAGGTGCGTGCCACCATGCCCAGCTAATATTTGTATTTTTAGTAGAGACAGGGTTTCACCATCTAGGCCAGGCTGGTCTTGAATTCCTGACCTCGTGATCCACCCACCTTGGCCTCCCAAAGCGCTGGGATTACAAGAGTGAGCCACCGCACCCAGACTTCTTTTATTATTTTGTTGAGGTGAAGTTTCTGTCTTGTTGCCCAGGCTGGAGTGCAATGACGCAATCTCGGCTCACTGCCACCTCCTCCTCCCAGGTTCAAGTGATTATCCTGCCTCAGCCTCCTGAGTAGCTGGGATTACAGGCACCCACCACCAAACCCAGCTAACTTTTTGTATTTTTAGTAGAGATGGGATGTGGCCAGGATGGTCTTGAACCCCTGACCTCTCATGATCCACCCGAATTGGTCTCCCAAAATGCCGGGATTACAGGTGTGAGTCATTGCGCCCAGCCCCTCCCATACCTCTTTTGGCCAAGGCAGTACAATTCAGAAGAATCTTGCCAGGGAAGACTGGTAAATGGACGTCAACGTGATGCCTATGGCTCCTAGTGGATTTAGATACCTCCTGGTGCTCACTGATACCTTTACCAGTTACACGGGGGCTTTTCCATGCCAGACTGAAAATGCAGGAGATCACTGATCAACCTTCAGCTATTCACTAACAGAACACTGAGGGGACTGTGTGGTCCCCAATACCTCCTATTGCACTTAGATAAACACTTCCTGGGAAATAGAGATGAATAGAAAGGAAATACTCAAACAAGTAGAGATGGCTGTATTCCCTCAATCAGAAGGGTCCATTAGTCTGTTTTCATACTGTTATAAAGAACTACCGGAAACTGGGTAATTTATGAAGAAAAGAGGTTTAATTGACTCACAGTTCTGCAGGCTGTACAGGAAGGATGGCTAGGGAGGCCTCAGGAAACTGACAATCATGGCAGAAGGCGAAGGGGAAGCAGGCACGTCTGGCCATGGTGGAGCAGGAGAGACAGAGAGAGTGAAGAGGGAGGTACTGCATGCTTTTAAACAACCAAATCCCATGAGCCCTCACTCACTATCATGAGAACAGCAAGCGGGGAAGTCGGCCCCCATAAGGCAATCACCTTCCACCAAGTTTCTCCCTCAACACTGGGAATTACAATTTGACATGCGATTTGGGTGGGGATACATAGCTGAACCATATCAACGGTAGTTCAACCACGAGATTGATTGACTGAGATGGAGTCCCACTCTGTTACCTAGGCTGGAGTGCAGTGGCACAATCTTGGCTCACTGCAACCTCTGCCTCCCAGGTTTAAGCAATTCTCCTGCCTCGGCCTCCCGAGTAGCTGGGACTACAGCATACGCTACCATGCCTGGCTAATTTTTGTATTTTTAGTAGAGACGGGGCTTCACCAAGTTTGCCAGGCTGGTCTTGAACTCCTGACCTCATGATCAGCCTGTCTTGGCTTTTCTTTTGCTGGAATTACAGGCATGAGCCACTGCACCCGGCCAACCACTGAGATTTAGAAGGCAGTCGAGTCCACTATACCACACCTCACCTGGTTTCTTCCTCTGATGGGGCCCCTCGTGGCCACTGTTCTGTTACTTTTCGGTCCTATTTATTTAAATGGATGGTGAGCTGTCTGCCCTCCAGGCTCCAACACTTCCATCTTCAGCTTGTATTACAACAATACCAGCCCTTCAAGCTACTCCAGGTGACCCCAGAACTCATTTGAACTCAGAAGCTCAAGAGTTTCATTCCTCTCACTTTCCTCTCACTTTAGGGGACTCAGTGCCCCTGGTCAGCATGAAGTCAGTACGGAAACATGACCTCCATCCCTAATCCCTCAACAATGAAGAGTGGAAGGTGTAGGCAAGAGGGTGGGGGCACGGTTTGTAAATCTGTAACTGCATCAGACCAAATCTAGTTCAACTTTTTTTTTTTTTTGACGGAGTTCGCTCTCGTCACTCAGGCTGGAGTGCAATGGCACAATCTCAGCTCACTGCAACCTCCACCTCCTAGGTTCAAGCGATTCTGCTGCCTCAGCCTCCGGAATAGCTGGGATTAGAAGGGTACTCACCATTTTGACCAGGCTGGTCTTGAACTCCTGACCTCAGGTGATCCACCTGCGTAGGCCTCCCAAAGTGCTGGAATTACAGGCATGAGTCACTGCACCTGGCTCAGTTCAACTTTTATGTAATGAAGTTGTCAGTTGCTTTTCAATTGCCATGGACCTGCAGGTTAAAGGTCATGTACCCTGTGCATTCTCAGGTTAACCAAGCATGCCACCACAGAGTGGAAACTAAGAGCTCAGCCTGAAGAGCTGGGACCGATTTAAGAACCGGACACCCTGTGGCAGGAGCCAGGATCCAATCAGATTGAGTTCTGGTGTCCCCCATGGCAGGATCCAGTCAGATCACACAGCCCAGCATGACTTTATTGCAAGATCCAATCAAATCACACCTCATTACCGTATGCTTATAAAACCTGACACAGCCCCCAGTTGTGTAAGGGAGATCTATTTCCATGTGTGGCGTGTGTGCATGTGATGTGTGTGCATGTGTGGTGTGAGCGCATGTGTGGTGTGAGCACGTGTGGTGTGAGTGCCTGTATGGTGTGTGCACATGTGTGGTGTGTGTGCAGGTGTGTGTGTGCATGTGTGGTGTGAGTGCACTGGTGTGTGTGCATGTGTGGTGTGTGTGCACGTGTGGTGTGAGTGCATGTGTGGTGTGAGTGCACTGGTGTGAGCGCATGTGTGGTGTGTGCATGTGTGGTGTGAGTGCATGTGTGGTGTGTGTGCATGTGTGGTGTGTGTGCATGTGTGGTGTGAGTGCATGTGTGGTGTGTGTGCATGTGTGGTATGTGTGGATGTGTGGTGTGTGTGCATGTGTGGTATGTGCACATGTGTGGTGTGAGTGCATTGGTGTGAGTGCATGTGTGGTGTGTGTGCATGTGTGGTGTGAGTGCATGTGTGCTGTGCATGTGTGCTGTACATGTGTGTGTGTGCATGTGTGGTGTGTGTGCATGTGTGGTGTGAGTGCATGGGTGGTGTGAGTGCATGTGTGGTGTGTGTGTATGTGTGGTGTGTGTGCATATGTGGTGTGAGTGCATGTGTGGTGTATGTGCACGTGATGGAGATGAAGGGGACTGGGTGGGTGAGTGGGGACAAGCTTTAAGGTTTTAAACTCAGGGCAGTTAGTAGTGTGAAAGAACATGTAATTCCTCCCACTTCTAGTAGGTACAATATACTCTGAGTTTCCTCTCAGGAGGTTGCTAGCTATGTGTATTCAGATGGAGGTTACGAACACAAAATCTAATTCAATCTTAAATATAATTGAGACATTGTAATTCTCACATAAACTTAAGAGTCTTGCTTAAAACGTCCTAATAGAAAACATGCTTGGCATTAGACAGTTCACAGCAATGACACTGATACAACTCTGCCACAGACAGACAATACAGATCACTGCCCTTGAGTGCAGTGACCTGTTCCCACATGATACAGTCAGTTCTTATGAGGAGAAACAGTTAAATAAATAACCTACTAGATGTGATGGAGATGCCACTATGATGCCCAGTTCTTTAAACAAAGAAGCGTCATCTGGACTTTGAAAATGGCAAAAGGTGTTTGGGGAGGGGGTAGTGGGGGTTATTTGAGCACAGGTGGTGAAAAGAGCAAGAAAAATATTGACACAGTGGAAAAGAAACTAAACACTTCCCACTTTACATTACAGTATCTGTCCTAAAGAAGATGATATAAAACAGGAATCCAGAGCTTTGTAACTGGAGTGCCACAAGTAGCTGCCATCTCAGTAACCATGTCAACCGTTACTCACAAAGTACTCATCCTCATTTGCTTATGAAAAGGAAAGCACTCAAATCCTTCTTATACATCAGCGGTCAGGTAAACAGCAGATATCTGGGCCATGAGGGCAGCCCATAATACCATAATATACATCTAAAAAAAATTTGCCTCCCTACCTTTCGGCAGCGAGGATTAGGACAGCTGAACCTCTTCACATCACTGTCCAACAGAGCAGGAAAGCTACAGGAGGGGCACCTACAGTCAGAACAGCAGAAGTGACATTACTTCAAACATTAAAGACTGACTTGGTTCCACCTCCATGTGGCTGTTCATATGAAGATGGAGTTTTGAGCTGGACATTCACATCCCCTTTATACTTGTTAGTTTTCCTGAAAACACAGATTGAGCCTCTTCTTTGTGCTGGCTCTTATCAGGAAACACAAACACCACCTGCGGTCCTGACTCAATATAAACCACTCAATAAACACATCTCAATCTCAATGAGAACTCCTTGCATATATCGATTTCCCTCCAGCCCAGGGCACCATGATTGTATCTATGGGCCAGAAGATTAGGGGGTGCCAAGACATGTAGACAGAAGTTTGAGCTGCAGGCCGGGCGCAGTGGCCCACACCTGTAGTCCCTGCACTTTGGGAGGCCATGGTGGGCGGATCACTTGAGGTCAGGAGTTTGAGACCAGCCTGGTCAACATGGCAAAACCCTGTCTCTATCAAAAAAACAAACAAACAAAAAAGTTGGACATGGTGGCGCACACCTGTAATCCAGGCTACTCGGGAGACTGAGGCATGAGAACTGCTTGAACTTGGGAGGCGGAGGTTGTAGTGAGCCGAGATTGCGCCACTGCACTCCAGCCTGGGTGACAGAGTGAAATTCCATCTCAAAAAAAAAAAAAAAAAAAAAAAGAAAAAAATTTGAGCTGCAGAGTTTTCCATTAACAAAATTACTGGTTACTCAATGGTTTCAAGGTGTTAAAAAATAAAAATAAATAAATAAAATCATTGATAATCTTATTTCTCGGCAAGAAATGCCAAAAAACCTGGAAGACATACTCAATTTTCATCATCTGACGCAAGTGCCCAGGTAGTTTTCACAATGGGGAAAGGTTGGCAGATGGCACGCTCTGCCTGAGAACGAACCCGACAAGCTCATCGGTGTGGGCTGCTGCAACCTCCTCCTCGGCTTTTCGTTCATAGTACTTATATAGGATGGTCTGGGGGAGCACCTTCTCCAGCTCACTGGTTGGGAACGAACACGTGCAGCTGCCTTCCATGCAGCTGAGCTCCGACTAGAAAAAGGTGAACAGGCAAAGAAGAAAAAAATCAACACCGTTTATAGAAAAATAAAAAGCGTCAGTGGTTAAAAACATAGATCCTGAGACAGTAGAGCAAAGATCTCTCTGAGAAATCACAATTAAATCACGAAAACCATGAAACAAAAATCTAGTACATCTTTGATATCACTAGAGGATCTCTATTAGCCCAAATCACAATCCACAGAGGTTGAAAGTGGAGGAAGGGTAAATGGCTTAGCAGACCAGACAGAGAAGCCCATAGCTTAGGGTCTGAAAAGGAGATGCTGGGGAGAAGTTGGTCCCCTCTACAGATGTTAGAAAGCTGGAGACCCTCTGGAAAGCAGAGCTGAGTGGTGGGGAGGGGTGGGGACTCAAAGTAATAAACTGAAAACAAGAAGATGGGTGGAGCCTGTAGTTCCTACCCCCTTCAGAAGGAACTGGCTGACTCTGAGAGAAATGAGGAAGATCTGAACAGCTGGACCACAAGGCTCTGGCCTGGGAACCAGTCAGAGAGGAGAGCAGAGCTGAGGGGCTCTGACTTGAGGAGAACAAGTCAGGGTCTGAAATGAAGTCTGCATAATGAACAGAGAATTCTCCAGCTCCTTTCTCCCACTCAGTTTCAGAATGCTGGAAAATGGGCTCACACCCACTAGGCAGGAGGCAGACTGAATCACCCCAGGGAAGAGACTTAAGGGCCATTCAGGTTTATAATATAAAAGCTAACTGGCTCCCAGGCACCTAGAGTCAAACCTACTGTTCTATAAGCCCCACTATTCACACAGCTTTCCAACAGCTCTTTAACATGAACAAAGAGTGTCAGACATGAGGAATGCGTCCCACATGAATGAAAGACAGACACCAAAGAAAACAAATGGAAAAACACATCCTAAAAATAACTAGCTAAAATTTATGAGGCATTTACCATGTGTCAAATAGTAAGTTTATTAAATTCATGACCTCATTTAGCTTTCAAAACAATGCCATGATTATTTCCATTTTACAGAGGAAGAAACTGAGGCTTAAGGTATTTAATTTGCTCAAGATCACAGAGCTGGTATGGCTGATGGGGGGCATGGCCCAATGCATTCTGCTTGACTCCAAAGGTCATGCTCTTTGAAAAAACAGAAACTTTATTTATTTATTAATTTTTCTGAGACAGAGTCTTGCCCTGTCCCCAAGGCTGGAGTGCAGTGGTGCGATCTCGGCTCACTCAGCCTCCTGAGTAGCTGGATTACAGGCACCCACCATCACACCTGGCAAATTTTTGTATTTTTAGACCAGATTGGGTTTCACCATGTTGGCCAGGCTGGTCTTAAACTCCTGACCTCATGATCTGCCCAACTCAGCCTCCCAAAGTGCTGGGATTACAGGCATGAGCCACCGCACCTGGCCTATGTCTTTTTCTTTTTTTGAGATGCAGTTTCCCTTTTGCCCAGGCTGGACAGCAACGGCACAATCTGAGCTCACCACAACCTGTGCCTCCTGGATTCAACCAATTCTCCTGCCTCAGCCTTCCCAGTAGCTGAGATTATAGGCACGCGCCACCAGGCCTGGCTAATTTTGTATTTTTAGTAGAGACGGGGTTTCTCCATGTTGGTCAGGCTGGTCTTGAACTCCTGACCTCAGGTGATCCGCCCACCTTGGCCTCCCAAAGTGCTGGTATTACAGCCATGAGCCACCATGCCCGGCCCCTAATGTTAACATCTTATGTCAAAACCAGGAAGTTGACAGTGGTCTGCTACCATTAATGGGACCAGGCTTTCCACTCATATCTTCTCTTCTGGCCCAGGATCCCACAAGGCATCTAGTCGTCATGTCTCCTCAATCTCTTCCAACCTGAGTTTCGCAGTATTTCTTGGTCTTTTACAGCCCTGACACTTTTGAAAAGCACTGGCCAGTAAGTTTGTAGAGTGTCTCTCAATTTGATTTGTCTCATGATTAGACCTAAGTTAGGCACTTTTTGGCAAGTTCTCAGCATACGCCAGACAGATGTCAATGTGTCTTATGTATGGCTGGGGATGTAAAAAGCCCCCCAGCTTTTTGAGATGGGGTCTTACTCTGTTGCCCAGGTTGAAATGCAGTGGCTCCCACCTCAGCCTCCTGAGTAGCTTGACTACAGGTGTGAGCCACCATGCCCAGGTAATTTTTGTATTTTTTGTAGAGACGGGGTTTCACCATGTTGACTAGCTGGTCTCAAACTCTTTACCTTAGGTGATCCACCTGCCTCAGCCTCCCAAAGTGCTAGGATTACAGGCGTGAGCCACCGCGCCCGGGCAAAAAGTCATATGCTTAATCACTGTGTTAGATTTCTATTGCTGCTGGAACAAAATATCACAAACTTAGTGGTGTAAAACAATGTAAAATTCCCATACTGTGTTTGTTATGCTGGTGTCCAGAGAAACTGACTTTGGAGAGAGAAATATGATCTTGTGTAAAGTAAGTTATGTTATTTTAACATATATTTAATCCAATAGGCTGCAAGGTTCTCTCTTTCGGAGGTAAGCTTCCCTCTGATTATGAATAAGATGATGAGTGAAGCGGGTGCTCCTCTGTAGCTAGGCATGGGGACGTGGAAGAATTCTACTGCTACCTGAAAAGAAATCTGCTGTGCTTAGAGAACCCACATAATCACACACAACAGGTAATGCACACATAAGCACACCAGCAGAATTCCACCTCACCCTGAAAGAGGCACTTACACTTATCTATCAACATGGTCTTCTTAGACTCCAGGAATGTGTCCTACATACATGGGACATATTACACAGTTCTTACCTTTCCAGATCCAAAGACTGCCTCTTGGGTGTATCTGAACAAGTGAGCATCTGTGCACTGCGTCAGCTCCTCGAATGGAAATTCCCCATAGCAGCAGCGACACTCAATCAGCTGGCCGTCCTGTAGGCAGTCAAGAAACACATATGAAATGTCCTGCACTTAAGCAGAGGGGGAGCCTTGTCTCCCATCCTCATCTCTCTCCCACCCCCCCCACAAATTCTGAGGTAAAAAGCAACCCATTTTAGGGGCCATAAAACAATGATATGCTGTTTCATGCTATATAAATTCAGCTCAAGATACTAGCACAATAGTAATCCATACCTAAACCAGCGACGTTTTCATGGGTTTTGTCTGGTATTCTTTAGAGTAATTCTTTGTATAAAGTTATCATATTTGATATGCATCCCATGGTGCAAAGGGAACTAGAACATCTGCACTCAGATGCTAATGTGATTATAAAAAGCAAAGATAAGGGGCACGAGAGATGTTACCCAAAATGCTTTCAAAAGTTTAATTTTGTTCTTGTCATAAAGAGTGTGAATGGGTCATATCCAAGTCTGAGCTTTATTTTAAGGGACTATTGAAGCTATAACTAAAGCAGCAACCTCAAGTAATGTACCAGGCTATTGACTCCTTTTATTAACTATATCAACTGATCCAATCACCAACTCATTCTTTTTTTTTTTGAGACGGAGTCTTACTCTGTTGCCCAGGCTGGAGTGCAGTGGTACGATCTTGGCTCACTGCAACCTCTACATCTCAGGTTCAAGTGATTCTCCTGTTTCAGCCTCCCGAGTAGTGGGGGTTACAGGCGCCTGCCACTATGCCCAGCTAATTTTTTGTATTTTTAGTAGAGACAGGGTTTCACCATGTTGGCCAGGCTGGTCTCGAACCTTGTGATTTGCCCACCTTGGCCTCCCAAAGTGCTGGGATTACAGGCATGAGCCACTGCATCCAGTTCCATTCTTTTATTTATTTATTTTTTATTTTTATTAGAAATGGGGTGTTTCTATGTTGACCAGGTTGGTCTTGAACTCCTGGGCTCAAACAATCCTCCCATGTCAGCCTCTCAAAGCGCTGAGATTACAGGCACGAGACAGGGTGCCCGGCCACTAACCCATTCTTAATGCCACATTAGAAAAGGTCACTAGCTGGGCGTAGTGGCTCACACCTGTTCCCAGTACTTTGGGAGGCTGAGATGGGTGGATCACCTGAGGTAAGGAGTTTGAGATCAGCCTGGCCAACATGGTGAAACTCCGTGTCTACTAAAAATACAAAAATTAGCTGGACATGGTGGCACATGCCTGTAGTTCCAGGTACTCGGGAGGCTGAGACAGGAAAATTGCTTGAACCCAGGAGGCAGAGGTTGCAGTGAGCCAAGAAAGCGTCACTGCACTTCAACCTCGGTGACAGAGCAAGACGTTGTTTGGAAAAAAAAAAAAAAAGAAAGAAAAAGAAAACTCACTGTATGAGGGCGGCAGACACCATACAGAAACCCATCTTGCCCTGAGGTTAGACATATCTCTTTCTTTTAACTCTAAAGTGATATCTAAGTTGTAAACTTTCCTTTATGAGTCTATCTAATGACCGTCAGGTAATGATTTTTAACGGGAACATCTATTATCTCCCTTCAATTCTGATTCAGTGTGATATAAGAGTGACTACATTAGATCATGTATCTGACTATAACTTGGCTGAACTGCAAACTCGGCAAATCAACAGGAGGTTATCCAAAAACAAATTTGCCATCAAAAATGCTGACAAAACATAGTAAGAGAAAACAGCCCATGAAAATATCCAGAATAAACAAAGTGAGATTTCAAACTACCTTTTGATACTATTCTTCATTCATCTGCAGGGCAAGCTAAGTCTTCATGCTGAAGAACAGAAAAAGCACACACTCAGACACAAATTTAGTAAAAATGACATTAACCATTTAGTATTCATTTCCATAAACATAACTCCAGTATTGTGATCTCTTCGATTACACAGTTTAGCAGTTCAAAAAGTTACCTATGAATAAACTGTAAGTGGACGAGAGAGCTAGAAAATACAGGACAATTTTTCTTCAGTATGACTCAAAATGTAGAATAAATAAGGGAAAAGGTTGACACATAAAACACTTTGAATAGCAAAGAATAGCATCAACAAAAACAAACTGAACAAATAAAAACTAAGTTTGGCTGGGTGGGATGGCTCATGCCTGTAATCCCAGCACTTTGGGAGGCTGAGGCAGGCAGATCACATGAGATCAAAAGTTTGAGCCCAGCCTGACCAACATGGAGATACCCCGTCTCTACTAAAAATACAAAATCGGCTGGGCATGGTGGTGTACACCTGTAATCCCAGCTACTTGGGAGGCTGAGGCAGGAAGATCACTTGAACCTGGAAGGCAGAGGTTGCAGTGAGCTGAGATCGCCCTGTTGCACCCTAGCCTGGGCAACAAGAGTGATACTCCGTCTCAAAAAACAAACAAACAAACGAAAACTATGTTTGACAATAGACTTCATTGGTGAGGCTGTGTGGTAGTAGGCACCCTCACACGTTACTGGTGAAAATGCAAAGCAGGACAACCACACTGGCGGGACACTGGCACAGAGTCATCAATGCCACTTCCAAGAGTCTAGCCCAAAGATGCACCTGGGCAGAAACAGGGAATGATGTATGTATAAACTTATCATGGCGCTATTTATAATCACGAAAACCTGGAAACAACCCTAAACGTCTATCAACAGGGGAATGACTGAATAAACTGTGGTATTACATAAAATGGTATACCAGCCAGTTTCAAAAAGGAAAGAGAAAAATCCCTATGAATTGCCATAGAGTGATTGCCAGGATGCATGGTTAAACGAAAAATGCAGTCACAGAAGAGTCTGCCACCATTTGGGATTACATTAAATTATTTGTGAGACAGTGTCTCACTCTGTCGCCCAGGTTGGAGTGCAGTGGTGTGATCCTGGCTCACTGTAACCTCAACCTCCCAGGCGCAAGAGATTCTCTCGCCTCAGCTTCCCGAGTAGCTGGGACTACAGGTGTGAGTTAATATGCCTGGAAAACTCTGCTACTATCTGGAAAAGAAAGATGGGTAAATAAAAATATACATATTTGCTTTTCCATAAAATAAGGAAAGATAAACCAAAGACTAACAATAATGGGTATATATAAACAAAGTGGGGGGCCAGGTGCAGTGGCTCACGCCTATAATCCCAGCACTTTGAGAGGCCAAGCTGGATGGATCGCTTGAGGTCAGGAGTTTGAGACCAGCCTAGTCAATGTGGCGAAACCCTGTCTCTACTAAAAATACAAAAATTGGCCAGGCATGGTGCCGTGTGCCCGTAATCCCAGCTACTCAGGAGGCTGAGGCAGGAGAATCCCTTGAACCCAGGAGTCAGAGGTTGCAGTGAGCCGAGATCCTGCCACTGCACTTCCAGCCTGGGTGACAGAGTGAGACTCCGTCTCAAAAAACAAACAAAGGAAAGTGGGAGAAAAGGACAGCACAAAAGCTAGATTTTTCTGAATGTTCCTTGTTTTATAGTTTTGATTTCAGAACTAAATTTTTTTTTTTTTTACAAAATTAGTTAAAAAAACAAAACCAATTCTCTAAAAGTTCAAAATAAACAGAAAGAAATAAACTTTTTTTTTTTGAAACAGTCTTGCTTTGTTGCCCAGGCTGGAGTGCAGTGGCATGATTTTGGCTCACTGCAACCAACCTTGACCTCCCAGGTTCAAGCGATTCTCGTGCCTCAGCCTCCCAAGTAGCTGGGATTACAGGCATGTCCCACCATGCCCAGCTAATTTTTGTATTTTTAGTAGAGACAGAGTTTTGCCATGTTGTCCAGGCTGGTCTTGAACTCCTGGCCTCAAGTGATCGGCTGCCTTGGCCTCCCAAAGTGCTGGGATTACACACATAAGCCACCATGCCTAGCCAGAAACAAATAAACTTGTTTATCAAGTTAATGGCACAAGCACCAAGACTTACTTCAAGTGACTTTAAGATATTTGAATTTTATATTCTCAGATATAATCTGACAATAATGTTATTAAGAACCAAGACTTTTAGCATCAGAGAAAAGAAAACAAAGTTAGCAGGGCATGGTGGTGCGTGCCTATAACCCCAACAATTTTGGTGGCTGAGTCGGGAGGATGGCTTGACGCCAGAAGTTCAAGACCAGCCTGGACAACATGGGGAAATCCAGGCTGTACAAAAAAAAAAAAAAAAAAAGAAAAAAAGTGCTGGGATTATAGGCGTGAGCCACTGCACCTGGCCCCCCACTTTGTTTATATATAACCATTATTGTTAGTCTTTGGTTTATCTTTCCTTATTTTATGGAAAAATACTTAATCTAATAAGATTGGTGATATTAATGAATGTCATTCTGTAACAGATTAAGATAATAAATTCTAATTTCTGCTTAAAATCTAGAATTTTGGTCAAAAATAATCACTTCATTCATTTTTGAGAAAATGCCTGCCAAATACCTAATTTTGAATAATCACAGTTTTTCTGTCACTTTTTTCCAAGTAAAAAGTGGCCAATGCAGCTGCTTTGCGTCTCAATTGCACAAGCACTCTCCTCATACCTGGATATAAGACAAGCTTCATATCCTGGGATGTGGCGGAAGCACTTTATGAAGACTTCATTTTATTACACAGAATATTGAAAAGATGTTTTCAAGGGTCAAAATTTGGTAAAATAATTTTTACTGCTTTATCAAAGACATTTTTAGGTGAAACTGGTGTGTCTTAAAAATGTAAGCTCATGGTGGTGAAGAAAACAAAGATTATGAGGATGGCTCTATGCCACTGGTCTGATTTATGCCAAGGCACCAATGCTTTGCTTCTGCTGGTACAAATTCAATATGGTGAAAAAGCAAATACAGCTGACCTTGATCAACAGAGGTGTGAACTGTGGGGACCCACTTATGTGCTCGTTTTCTTCTGCTTCTGCCCCCTGAGACAGCAAAACCAGCACACCCCTCCTCCTCAGCCTACTCAACGTGAAGACCATGAAGATAAAGACCTTCTCATGCTGATCCACAGTACCATTTAATGAATACTAAATATATTTTCCTTATCATTTTCTTAATAACATTTTCTTTTCTCTAGCTTACCTTATTGTAAGAATACAGCATGTAATACACAAAACATACCAAACGTGTTCATCGACTGTTATGGGTAAGGCTTCCTGTCAACAGCAGGCTGTTCACAGTGAAGTTTTGGGGCAATCAAACATTATATGCAGACTTTCAACTGCACAGGGGGAAGCACTTCTAACTCTCATGTTGTTCAAGGGTCACTGTAATGTCTTAGTATAGTTATAAGAGGTTTGACCTCGTAGACCCCCAAGAGAGTCTTGGGAAACCCAGGGATCTCTGGGTCACACTTTGGGAGCCACTGGTTTAGAAGATACTTATTAAACAATCAATATATACATTCCAGCTGACTTGCACATTTGATACTGTATTTAGAAAAATCAAAGGGTGAAACGGAACCGAGGCTGAGGGAGGAGGTGAAACAGATACACTAAGCTCCAATTAAAATTTTCTAACATAAAGCTGATTTATGAAACCACAAACATAAGTATTATGACAAAACCCAGGTTTTTTCTTTTAAAAATTTTGCATATATCCAAATTCATCACTCTGAAGAAAAGGGAAATCTTAAAAGACAGTTTTGTACTAACTAAACCCTAACAGCAAACCAGAATCCCGGAAACATACCCCAAGACCAGAGCACATCTTCCTACCTCTGCCATCTCTTTGATTTTCTGCTCATAGAACTCCTGCTCTTGTTGCACAGCTGGAAGGAGAGCACGCCGGTCATAGGACCTACAATGTCGTCGCTTATTTTCAAAACAGAAGATCCTCTTTTCTATTTTTATGTCACCTAGAAGATATACGACAATGCAAAAGCATGCAGACAACTGTGTGTTAGGAATCTGGGCCAGCCATGTCCATTCTTCCCGGCCTCATCCTCCCTCTTCTCTCTGGCGGTTCGTTTCATGACTTCTCTATCACACTCTACCATTTGGGAAGACTGGGCTTCTTACCATTTGCCAACCTACTATCCATTTTTTGACCTTTCTGGTTCTTTCCCTCTGTTTATGCTCCATTGGAAGGCATCTCCTATTCTGTCACTAGTGTACTATGTGAATGTACCACAATTTATTATCTATTTCACTACTGAGGACATTTGGGTTTACTGTTTTGGGTTAATCTGAATAGTGCTGCTTATAGCCATGTGTTGGTGAATGTATGTCCACAATTTAGCTGGGAATTGCTAGATCATGGGATAGGCTTACTTCCAGCTTTTAGAAAATAATGCCAGTGTTCCAAAGTGGTTGTACCAGTTTACACCCTTCCTCCATCAGCAATGCATGTGAGTTCCAGTCTCTCCCACGTCCTTACAACACCTATCATCGGTTTTTAATTTTAGCCATTCTGATGGGTGCAAATGTGCCATATGTTTTTCAACCATTTTTATTTTGAAAGCATTCAAATATATAAGGGGTGGAAGGAATAGTACCTAGATTCACCACAATATATTATAACATGAGAATAAAAGAAAGCAGAATGACAAATATCAGACATATAATTGATCTGTTTAGGTTCTGTATTTCTTTTGCTGATTTGGCAAATTATGATTTTCTTTTTGGAGACAGAGCCCCGCTCTGTTGCTCAGGCTGGAGTGCAGTGGCACATTCATAGATCACTGCAGCCTCGACTCCTGGGCTCAGGTGATCCTCCCGCCTCAGCCTCCTAAGGAGGTGGGACTATAAAGGCAGATGCCACAACGCCCAGTTAATTTTTTTGTATTTTTTTAGAGATGGGATTTTTCCCGTGTTGTCCAGGCTGGTCTTGAAGTCCTGCGCTCAAACCATCCACCAGTCTTGGCCTCCCAACCACCAGCCTTGGCCTCCCAAAGTGCTGGGATTACAGGTGTGAGCCACAATGCCTGACCAATTTATATTTTCCTAGAAAACTTTATCTCATCCAGATTTTCAATGTACTCTTGTCTTTTCTTGGTAATCTCTTGATTTTAACATTTACTATCTGGTTCCTAATACATTTTATTTTGATTCTCCTTTTCTCTTGCTCATTCTCACATTTTTTTTAATTCAAACTTTTTCTTCAGAAAACCAGTTTTTGGGGCCAGGCGCAGTGGCTCACGCCTGTAATCCCAGCACTTTGGGAGGCCAAGGACGGCACATCATCTGAGGTGAGGAGTTCAAGACCAACCTGTACAACATGGTGAAACCCCGTCTCTACTAAAAATACAAAAATTAGCCAGGCGTGATGGCACACACCTGTAATTAATTCCAGCTACTTGAGAGGCTGAGGCAGGAGAACTGCTTGAGCTTGGGAAGCAGACTCTGTCTCAAAATTAAAAACAAAACAAAACCAGTTTTTGGTATTATGAGAATAGAAAAGCACATGATTAGAGAGTAAGCTTTGAAGCCAGATTCCCAGCTCGGCTACTCGCTAGCTGTGTAACATGTGCCAAGTTACTTAACCTCTCTGTGTTTCAGTATTTTTTCTACAAAATGATAATAATGGCACATACATCTCATAAGGTTATTTGAAACATAAACGAATTAATCCATTAAAGCACTTAGAAAAGTGACTGGTACATATTAAGTGCTAAATAAATGTTAGTTATTATAATTATCAATGCTACAAATTAAAAAATTCCACCCTCTATTATTTCTTTTGTCTTTACTCAGTTCTTTTTGTAGTTTATCATGTTAAAGTAGTAAGATTTATTTTCAGTCCTTTAATTTTATTTATTTACTTTTTTAGAGACAGAGTCTTGCTCTGTCACCCAGGCTGGAGTGCAGTGGCGTGATCTTGGCTCACTGCAAACTCTGCCTCCCAGGTTCACGCCATTCTCCAGCCTCAGCCTCCCGAGTAGCCGGGACTACAGGTGCCCACCACCACGCCTGGCTAATTTTTTTGTATTTTTAGTAGAGATGGGGTTTCACTGTGTTAGCCAGGATGGTATCGATCTCCTGACCTTGTGATCCGCCTGCTTCGGCCTCCCAAAGTGCTGGGATTATAGGTGTGAGCCACTGCGCCTGGCCTCAGTCCTTTATTTTTAAAAATAAATGCAATTAAGTCTATACACTTCCCTCTAATTTATTTTCCTGAAGGACCATAAAAAGGACAGAGGAGGGAGAACCCTGTCTCACTCTGAGTCAAGCAATTATAGCCCAAAGAGCAGTGCTTAGATGGAAAACAAACTGAATAGGAAAAAAATGGGATGCCTGGAACAGATAAGGGATTCTTAGCCTGTGTCCTTATAAAAAGCTGTTAAAAAAGGCTAAGTATGAGTCATAGACATTAAACTACTAACATAAATCAAGTGTATTTTTTATCTCATACTTACAGGGTCCTTAAAGATTATCTGATAATTAAATTTAAGACTCAGCATCTAAATTAAAGTGCTATACCTAAAACAAGGGACTGAATCAAATAAAATGAAGTTAACAGGGAAAAATGTGAGATGCAGCGAAACTGAGAGAGTAATATGACCTGACAGCAATGTGGGTGAAAAGAGCAAGGCTGAATGTGAGCAGACCTCATGTGGAGTATGATGTCCAGTCTTCTACACCCCAGCTTTCAAAAAGACCCTGACAAGCTAGAGAAGGGCACGTAGGGACAGGGAGAAGAGCAGTCAGGCTGACGAAGGGGTAACAGCCAGAATCTGTCTCTCCATAGGCAAGAACTACAACCACAGCTGGAAACTTCAGGAAGTACATGCTGACTTAATACAAAGGAAGAACTGTCTAAAAGACGGAGCTGACCAACAAGGGAGTCAACTATCTTGCAAAGTAGCACTTTCTCCACCACTGAAGTCAGAAACAAACGCTATATGGCTATGTACAAGGATGCCTGTTCTGAACTGTGGGTAAATTTGGCTGAATGAAAAACCACCCGCACAGTGCCCCTAGTTCTACATTCTGCCACAGGCCAGGAGAATGTCATGTCAGCAGGGCACTGCTCCACAGACTGGCTTAGGAACCTCAGGAGTCATAGCCTAAGGGATTTGCTTTTAGATCCTGAAAAGTTCATGGTAAATACAAATACTGCCGGGCACGGTGGCTCACGCCTGTAATCCCAGCACTTTGGGAGGCCAAGGCGGGTGGATCACGAGGTCAGGAGATCGAGACCATCCTGGCTAACATGGTGAAACTCCGTCTCTACTAAAAAATACAAAAAACTAGCTGGGCGTGGTGGCAGGCACCTGTAGTCCCAGCTTCTTGGGAGGCTGAGGCAGGAGAATGGTGTGAACCCAGGAACCAGAGCTTGCAGTGAGCTGAGATTGCGCCACAGCACTCCAGCCTGGGCGACAGAGCAAGACTCTGTCTCCAAAATAAATAAATAAATAAAAAGCAAATACAAATACTTTCCAGCTTTATATAGTCACCTGAGTTTCCACTTAGTCATACCTGAAATCAAGTGTGGTAATTAAGTGCACACATAACAGAAAGGGATGATCTCTAGAAAAGTTGTAGTAACTCCTTTACTGGGTAGAAGCAACTCAGATAAAATCTGAGTTGTTATAAAACTCAAGTTTACATTTCTGGGGATGAGACCTGAAGTAACCTCTTCGAAAGGGTTTTCAGCAGTTATTTCATCAATAAGAATGACAGAATTTTGGAGAAACATGTGGCTATTGGCCATTCTCTCAGTTGCATAAGTGACCCTCTGCAGTAAGGCCTCATTCATAAGTCTGGGCAGTTTTTACCTAACAACACAGCCAATTCTCATCAAACCTTCAAGACCAGTTTTTTCCCCAAGCTTAACAGCATACTCAAATACTTTCTCACACATGAATTTTCTACCACACAAAATTTTCCTGCCATGGTTTATCTTAAGTAGGAAGAAGGAAGCCAACAAGTGCAGCCACTTTCTGAAAATTTTGATGTGCTTAGAAAATAGTTCCTGTCAGTCACTCCTTGGACTGGCCTGGCCAGATGCTCAGCAGATGGCAGACACCTGTAGCACGGCTTCCTTCACTGACTGTGAAGAAGAAAAGATACAGTTTTGCAGCTACACACTGCCAGCAACACAGTTTACATTACCTTGTTCAAACTTGAAATCGATGTAAGAATACTGGTTCATTTCTTTTCTCTTCTTCCTTTTTCCACCGCTTTCTGGTGATAGCTCCTGACATTTTTTCATGGCATCAGAAAAGGCCTAAAAATTGAGAAAGCGAGAGGTTACTTCTGTAAATGGAAAGTAAGAATACACAAGACAGGCAATCCCCAAATGCCATTTTAACACATCTTCAGCCTTCTTCCCAGCACGGCTAACAACAGGTAGTGGTGGCTGGGTGCGGTGGCTCATGCCTGTAATCCCAAAACTTTGGGAGGCCAAGGCGGGTGGATCCTTTGAGGTCAGGAGTTCAAGACCAGCCTGGCCAACATGGTGAAACTCCATTTGTACTAAAAATACAAAAATTAGCTGGGTATGGTGGTGCACGCCTGTAATCCCAGCTACTCAGGAGGCTGAGGCAGGAGAATGGCTTGAACCCGGGAGGCGGAGATTGCAGTGAGCCAAGACTGCACCACTGCAATCCAGCCTGGGTGAAAGAGTGAGACTATGTCTCAAAACAAAAACAAAAACAAAAACAAAAGAATAGGCAGTGGTAAATAGGCAGAATTTATTTTCATTTTCTCTGACTTTCATAAACTGGTACAGTGGTGGAAGCAAAACACTTAATGACAGATTAAAGAGTAACTAGGGAAAAGAAAAACTGTTGGCAGGGTGCAGCGGCTCACACCTGTAATCCTAGCACTGTGGGAGGCTGAGGGGGATGGATCGCTTGAGCTTAGGAGTTCAAGGCTAGCCTGGGCAACATGGGAACACCCCATCTCTACTAAAAATACAAAAAGACAGCTGGGAGTGGTGGTCCACAGCTGTGGTCCCAGGTACTCAGAGGCTAAGGTAGGACAATCACTTGAGCCTGAGAGGCAGGGTTGCAGTGAACCATGATTGTGCCACTACACTCCATCCTAGGTAACACAGGAGACCCTGTCTCAAATAAAACAAAACTGTCCAAGCTCTCCTTGAATAAGTACAGGTTAAATCACACAATGGGCTGGTGAGTTCCATTCTGTAGGTAAATCTCCATGTTGTTTCTCTGGTTAATGCTCCTCTTTACTCTCCCCTAACCTGCTTCCCCCACGCTCTTCTCTGCGTGTACCTATATCCACCCCACCCTTGGACAGGATGCTGAAGTATAAAATCCTTCCACTGGTGAGGATCCCTTTTCTTTCCTACCTTCAGCTTCTCCCTCTTAGATTTTGCTTATCAGGATTTAAATGCATTCAAGTCAGGGAGGCTCACGCCCAGGGTGGCTCATGCTTGTAATCCCATCACTTTGGGAGGCTGAGGCAGGTGGATCATCTGAGGTCAGGAGTTTGAGACCAGCCTGGACAACATGGCAAAACCCTGTCTCTACTAAAAATACAAAAAAATTAGCTGGACGTTGTGGCATGCGCCTGTAATCCCAGCTACTTGGGAGGCTGAGGCAGGAGAATCGGTGAACCTGGTAAGCGGAGGTTGCATGAGCTGAGATCGTGTCATTGCACTCCAGCCTAGGCAACAGAGCGTGATTCTGTCTGGAAAAAAAAAAAAAAAGTGCTCAAGTCTTTGCCATCCTAAAAAAGGGACAGAGAAGGGGTACCTGATTTGAAGAGGAAGGAGGGGTGTGTGAGGTAGGGCCATTCTGCCTGGAAGAGAAGAAGGAAGAGTGGGAACCTTTCAGGAAGACCGGGTGGGACTCCTGAGTGTGGCAGGGGGTAGGAGGCCCTGGGGCTTGTGTCCTGTGGCTACGCTGTTAGGATGCAGGGCAGGCTGGGGTCCAAGCCTGGGCGGCATGAGAAGGGGGGTGGCTATGATGGCAGTGTTTGTCTGAAACTCCTGCTGAAACTTAATCCCCAGTGTGGCAGTGTTGAGAAGGTGATCTCATCTCTCTTTCAATGCCAGCCCCTCTTTCTTCTTCCCCTCTTTGTAAAGAAACTTATCAAAGGAGCTGTTTATCTTCTGTTTCACCACCTCACCCTTATGACCACAAGCTTTCCAGCTGTCTCTAATCTGGCATCTACCCTGCCTTTGCACTTACTAATCTATGCTTATTACTGAGTGGCCAAGTCTACAAGTCTACCATCTGCATTTTAGTCCTCATCTTGCACAATCTCTTAGCAGTATTTAATAACAGGCTGGCCATGGTGGCATCCCAGTGCTTTAGGAGGTTGAGGTGGGAGGACAGCCTGAGGTCAGGAGTTCAAGACCATCCTGCACAATCTAGCAAGACCCCATTTCTACAAAAAACAAAATAAAAAGATCATCCAGGTGTGGTGGTATGCACCTATATCCTAGCTACATGGGAAGCTGAGGCAGGAGGATGGCTTGAGCCCAGAAGGTCAAGGTTGCAATAAGCCATGATTGTGCCACTGTACTCCAGCCTGGGTAACAGAGAGAGACCCTGTTACTAAACAAGAATAACAATGATGATGATGATGATAATACAGACTGCTCCAGTCTCACAACTTCCTCCTTCCTGTCTGCCTGCCTCCTCCGCTTGCTCTTCACATGTCACCAGTCCTCTCTTCTCACCTGATATCTCTGGGTACCTCATCCTGGCTGCTGAGATTTTCCATATGCTAATGACTCTCAAAGTCCTATCACCATAAAACCCAAGGAGACACACACACACACACACACACAGAAACCTAAAAACTTTTCTACAGTCTGTATTTTCTAAACTTTTTAGTCCATTCAACCTTCCAGTGAATTATTTTTACTTAGATGTCTCACAGGCCCTTCTCAGCACACTGGCAACCAGTGTTTCCCAGACTGAATTCATGATTATTTCCCTCCAAAGCAGATGTTTATACTAGTTCTCACCCCAACAAATGATACCAACATCTTCCACCAAACTCCTACTTGGGTCTGTGATTAAATGTTCCTTGCTCAGGGAGGCCCTTCTGGAGACCCTTGGTCTACCTTAGGTTGCCTCCTGTTTTACCCTTTCAAAGCCCCTCTATTTTTCTTTCAGTCTTTTTTTGGCCGGGCACGGTGGCTCATGCCAGTAATCCCAGCACTTTGGGAGGCTGAGGCAGGCGTTATCATCTGAGGTTAGGAGTTGCTGACCAGCCTGGCCAACATGGTGAAACCCTATCTTTACTAAAAATACAAAACTCAGCCAGGTGTGGTGGTGAGCATCTGTAGTCCCAGCTACTCAGGAGGCTGACGCAGGAGAATCGCTTGAACTGGGGAGGCAGAGGCTGCAGTGAGCCAAGATCGCGCCATTGCACTCCAGCCTGGGTGACAGAGCGAGACTCCATCTCAAAAAAAAAAAAGGTGGAAGGGGCTTGGCCTACCTCAGCATGAGCCACAGTCCTCAGCTTGGTTCTTCCCTTCCTACAGGTAAAACCCAATGAGTATTTTAACCACTACGATAATTCCACGTTTGTCCTTTGGACAAAAGAAACATTACAGTATTTGCTGAGAATCACAAGAATTTCAGTAGAATAGAATTTAATGGCAGTAAGAGCGACCAAGAGGAGTAAGCCAAGGTCTCTGCTAGTGCATGCACTCCTGTTCTGGCCACAGCTACAAAGCGGGCACCGTGTGCTGTCCTTCATGGAAGATGTCTGTGTTACCCACCACGAACCAGCACCCTTCTCACCCTTAACAAAGGCCTTTAAGTGCTATCTATTTTAGGATCCTGGGGGGAAAATGCTAGGAGCTGTCAGTAGCTGCCCATTCTTGTTCCCGGACTCTTTACAGACCTTACGTCCTATCACTGATAACTGAGCCATCTGGGGGATGGATGGTCGTGTGACCTGTCCCAAGTCGGAAAGCAAATCAGGAAGGAGCAGGATTAGAACGCATCTTTCATACTCCTGCGTTCCACAGTAGAATGTATTACCCTCCATGTTTTTATGGTCAAACTAGAGCTTCTCTGCTTCTCATCTATCTATTATTTCTTTTCATTTAGCCCTTCATGACCAGCAAATACCTATTTATTTTCACCCTAACTCCTTAGCAATCATAAACCATCCCAATTTCCACAAGCTGGACTGTTCATTCTGTTATCATGGGAAGATGTAGCCAAGAGGTGTGACCCCAAGAGGAAGACCAAGTAGAGCACCTTTCGGGTGATTGCATAGTGTCCTTTGAGCTCGTGCAGGGCCCACTTGATATCCTGACTACTGAGCATTTTGAAGTCTGCTATGAGGAGGTCAGCAGCTTGGATGAAGCAGCGCTGGTCAAGAGGAGTCAATTTAGAATAGTCAAAAAAGTCTATTTTAGGCAACTGAAACGAGAGAGAAGCATAAAATCAGAGGCCAGGCAGTACATTTCCCATGTAAGTGAAATCATTTTAAGAATTACATGTGTAGAAAAGAATAACGTTTGTTCTAATTACTCTATAAGGAAGTTACCAGCCCTATAAGAGAGATGAGAAAATGGTGGCTCAGAGAGGTTAAACGAACCTGTCTGGAGCCGACAGACTAGTTTTACTAGTTATAACTAGTAAAGAAGTATAGTTGGGGATTTAAACCAATATTTCAGCCATCTTCTTTCCATAACATATTTACAAACAACTATTTTTTTCTATTATAGAATATGTAAGAGATATAATCAAAGAATCTATGGGGAGTTGGAAGATCAAGCAACAGATCTTAATAAAGTTAGTTCTCAACCATACTTTACCATATAATACACTAAATGCCAGTTTGGATCACAAATAATGACAATGATTAAAGTTTTTAAAAACCAAACTCTTTACATCTTGATATGAGATCTGGTTAAATAGATGTATAGTATACACTGTATACAAATCTCACATTAGAAGAAAAAAGATATTCAACTCTAGGTAACAATCTGCATGCTGACGTATTTACAGGGAAGTATACTGATGTTTTTGCAATTTACTTTGAAATGCATTATAATGAAATGAAACATAACAAAGATGTGCTGATGGACAGACAGAGGACATATGTATGATAAAGAGGACAGAGTAAACTGTTAACTTTCTAGTAGCACCAGTGGTAGGGATATAGGTGATCGACGTAAAATATTTCAACTTTTCTGTAGGTTTGAAAATTTTCATAATAAAATGTTAGTGTCCTGGCCAATTCTTGGAATTTGCTTTGTAGGATTAAAGATATGGAAGATTCGTTTAATTCTTTGTGGAAAAAGGAAGATAAGAATTACAAGGAAAGATAGAAGTTAAAGACAGAATTCAAAGTGGCTCAGAATGGGAGATCGCACTGAAGTATAGACATATTCTGAAATCCTATGTCCCTCTGCTAGTCTTTAAAAACTTGTCCCAACAAAGCACTTTCTTCCCATACAGATAACAACAACAACAACAACAACAACAACAACAACAACAAAAAAAACCAGGGCATTTCCAGGTAGCGACTGCAAAACAAGAACACGACACTTGCCTTTGTCTCATCCTGGCTGGCCAGCAGACTGCTACTGGGATTTATGATGATTCTATCTTCTCTCTTTGGATAATCTGGGATTTCCAGAAGAAAATTACAAAGTCCGCAAAAACAAATGATGTTACTTTCATACTGCTTCCAAATCCCACACCTGCCCATTGCTTCAAATGCAATGTTTGAAGAATATAGTCCTTAATCACACATTACAACTGGCCTATCAAGAAATTAAGATGTGTGCAGCCCAGAAAAACTAAACAGATAAATAAACAAACAAGTGCATTGAATTCCTATCTTTGTGGAAGAGAAAAAATTTAAAAAGCAATGAATTAAGGCAAACTCCTCTGAAGTTTATGTATCAGTTAGGTGTTAATGTAATGAAGTCACTGAAACTATTATTGGTTAAACTTCAAAATTGGAAAATTTGTAAGAAAAGTAGCTATTCTTTGTCAAGAAAACTATGAACAAGCAAGAAGTGGAAAACTATTCACATTTACAGTAAAAAACGGTCTGCTAAGAAATGAAATAAATGAAATATAAAAGATCTTCTGTTAATTCATTAATACTTTTTATACCCCTCTGGTAACATAAATCTCTACAGTAATATAAAGCTCTATGAGCCACTGAGTTATACTCGGTTTATTTAGTTAGCTGTTAAGCTAGACTGATGAACAGACCATGTTTTCCTACGAACAGACACTCTTCACACCAAACCCATTAGCTTTGTCTATTATCATCATGAAATACTTCCAAAGTAAGGATATATAGAGTGAGATAACACACATTGACGTATCACCACCCAGACCCAACAAATGTTAACTATTCAGGCTCTTCACAGTCAAATCAGACAACCACCTTGGAATGACTGCACAGTAGTGAAGACAGAGTGAGTGGGGTACAGCTCTAGCCACATTCAGTAGCAAGGAAGTTCCTTTGCTCAGAGGTTAATGGGGACTTCCCCTTTTCTCTGTTCTTTCTCTTGCTCCAGTAGATTCCTAGGATGAACCCCTAGGTGCTATACCTGCAATTCTCACACACCTCCTTTCCACTGATTCTCTTTTGCCAGATGTCAATAGTAAGGCCTATAATAGTAGGACAGGAGGTCTGGCAGAAAGAGGGCAGAGAAAAAGTGTCCAGCTCTGGCTCCTTTTCTCACCCAGGTGCCAGTGTTTGGGGACTGGTTTGCACAGGTTCGTTTATTCTGCAACCCCTGCCGGGGACCCATATCAAAGTGCTCTCGCTCATCCTGACATCTCACTGCATTTCCTTTTGCCATTACTTCTGGGAGTCCCATACACTTTTTGTCTCTAAGCTCCCCGCTTCCCTACCACCACAGCCTGCCCAGTCTATGGTACACAACACTAGAGGCCCAAAGAGAGCAAAAAAAAAGCAGGAAACTCCTCCTATTACAGAGGGAGACAAGAATTCAGAGTACATTTTCCTTTAAAACCATTGTAATCAGTGGTAATTCTCCGTCCTAGAATTCACTGGTGTGCACTGAGGTTATGCAAACCTTTGAAGGCTGACCTGAGAATTAGCCACCAGCAAAAATCCTGTCTGTAGGGAAAGTCCTGAGTTCTAGACAACTCATTACATGTGCATATTTAACGTGGCGACAAACCAGACACGAACTAGCTTTAAAATGGTCTGTGTTCACATGTTTTCTTAAGTACATGATACATAAGTACACCTCTACATGAAATACAGGTGGAACAGCAGATATGATTTCTTGAAAAAACAAACATGTTTGAGAGGTTCATCTCTCCCCAATTCATTTTATATTTTCAACAATACTAAGAACTTCAAACACTGAAATGCTACAGATGCGAAGTTCCACATGGCAGAAATCAGAAGCTCTCACTATAAACTGTAAGAATTCATTTCTAGTTTAATCCCTTCATTATGCTTACCAACAGAAATGTTCTGGAGGTTAAGTGATATTTGGAGGCCCAGAAAATGAAGGACAAAGAAAGGACAGGACAAATGAAGGACAGAAACAAGTGGTAGCCTCTGTTCTAATATCTGCACCCTGGGGCAAAAGCAGTGGGGAAGCCTGTCAGACTTCAATCTGCCCACCTCTTCATATGATGTCACGCTTAAGCTGATTTGACATGCTAGCAGATCTAAAGAAGGCACTCCTGCAAAGTAAGCCAGGCTAGTACTCTAACCTTTTTTTTTTTTTTTTTTTTTTGAGATGGAGTCTCGCTTTGTTGCCCAGGCTGGAGTGCAGTGGTGTGATTTCAGCTCACTGCAAGCTCCGCCTCCCAAGTTCATGCCATTCTCCCGCTTCAGCCTCCCGAGTAGGTGGCACTACAGGCACCTGCCACCACGCCTGGCTAATTTTTTGGATTTTTAGTAGAGACGGGGTTTCACCGTGTTAAACAGGATGATCTCGATCTCCTGACCTCGTGATCCGCCCATTTTGGCCTCCCAAAGTGTTGCGATTACAGGCGTGAGCCACCGCACCCAGCTGTACTCCAACCTTTCAACCCTTAGATAGCTGTTGCTGCCTTCATCCAACTGAAGTTGACCCCGTGTGAGTGAAAGGTCTAAGTTAACCAGCCAGAGTAGATTACCTGCCTTGTGGTTCTCCACAGGCCCTTCCTGCTTAAAATGTCCAGATGGTTCCATTTGAAGGCCATTTAAAGACACACAAATAAAGCAACTGAGACTGAGCTACAAGAAAATCCCAGGCTGCTCAATCCAGCTTTGGGCCTTATTTCCAGTTTCCATTAACATTTTAGTTTAGTTGTGGAATTAACATTGCCCTAGGAGTCCAGAGACTAATGGAAAGGAAAGCAGTCTCAGGAAAACAAGATTGGCTTGAAAAAAAGCAATACACGGACTGTACATTCCCCTGCTTTTTGGATTTCACAAGAATTTTTATGTGTTTAAGGATCAATATTTGCTTCTGAGTGACACAAAAAGCACAGAGGGTCAGCAAGTCCCTAAAAATAAGTACACGTGTGAGACTCAGGAAGTAGGAGAACAGAACTGTAACAGAAGGTGTCAATTTGATTACATTTTAGTGATTTTTATAGACAATCTTGAAGATATATTTAAACATGATGTTCATTTGCAGAAGGAGAGAAAAACATTGAAGTATACTCAATTTTGATGAGGTTAAATTGTTAAAAAATACTAAAATATGGTATCTGGTATTCAAATCATTGTTCTATAAATGAGCTAAGTTTATACTTTTCTCTATCATTTACATTTTCTGTAATGAATAAACCAGTATTCCATTTCATAGCCAGGAAAACATTAACCAAAAAAAAAAAAGGAATTCAAAGAGAAGAGAGATGTAAACAATTCACACACAAGGGAAATACAATTAGTAAACAAATATATGAAAAACACAGCCAATTATCAAAGAAACGTCACTTATGCTACTTTATGCCTACCCTAGTTAACTACAAAAAATAACATCATAACTCAGTAATGTCAAAGAGCTGTTAAAGCAATTCACACATTTAAGTTGTTTTAAATGAGTGGAAGTCTACGAGAAAGTTTTCATTGTAAAAATGTAGTCATTGCTGCTCAATTTTCCTGTAAACCTAAAACTGCTCTAAAAAATGAAGCTTAGTAATTTAAAAAAATGTAGTTATTATCATGCCACTTAGAAGCCCAAAAAGAAAGTACTTTAAAAGCTTAGGAGGGAAAAAAATCTCCAACAAACAATTCTGCTGGAAGACAGCAAACATAGCCAACAGGAAGGTGGATGCCAGGGCGTGGGGCAAGTAGAGTTCAGGAGACAAGCAGGAGAATGTTCACAGCTACATTATTTGTGACAGTCAGAACGCAAATCCCTATCAAAAGTAGATGGAAAATTTCATTGCTAAGTGGTATAAATGGAATACCACTTAGCAATGAAAAATATATAAACTATGGTTCTACCCAACATGAATAAACCTCACAAACATAATGCTGAGCGAAAAGAAGTCAGACTCAAAAGACTATAGACTACACAAAATCTTTATGTAGTGTTCAGAGAGGATAGCAATGTTCTATTTCTTGAAGATTTCTGGGTTGTGGTTACATAAATTTTTGGATTGTGATAAATTATTGAGCTGTCATCTTTAATTTGTTTATTTTTCTTTTTTCTTTACGTATATTATAAACACATTGCTATACAATAACCAAGTTTAAAAACTATACACAATAAAGAATATGTGGAAAGCCTTGAGAAGAGTAACTGGCATGTAAATAACAAAATGGCTTTCTTTCCTCACTGTATGGAAGGTTAAATACCCAGGTAGAGTCTCTCACTGAAAAATAAAAAATGCTTTAAGAGTTTGGGTAATCCAAGCTGGGTGAGGTAACACATGCCTGTAATCCCAGCTATTCGGGAGCTGAGGCAGGAGAATCATCTGAACATGGGAGGCTAAGGTTGCAGTGAGCCAAGATCATGCCATTGCACTCCAGCTTGGGCGACAACGGCAAAACTCCGTCTCAAAAAAAAAAAAAGAAACCAACTATATCAAGAACTCAAGACATGAGCTTAGAGTCAAACAAGAAAATGAGGCACCATGGGAGCCAGCAGGAAGAACAGAATATGATTCCCAAGAACTTAACACATCAGAACAATCAAACTCACAAAGAAACTAGGCTTATTGTTTAAAGAAATAAAAGAAAAAAAAAAAGACTAAAAATAAAGTCAAAGAGCAAAACTCGAGGAAAATAACCAAGAGAATTAAAAGCTAAAACATCATAACTGAAAAACAGTAACACAGTGGATGAGTTAAAAGATTACACTCTGCTGAAGAGAAATTTGTGGGCTAGAAGACACCTGTGAAGAAATTATCCAGAATACATCTCAGAGACAAAGAGGTGGACTTAGAGACATAGAGATCGTGGGAGAAGAGTTACAGAAGACAGGAAACAGCTACAAAATTTCCAGAACTGACAATATCACCAATCTATGGCCTGGTAGTATATACTCTTAATGGTTTTGCCTTACTGAGAAGCATGTTAAGTAAAATTGATAAAGATTAAGGGAAGGCCAGGTGAAGTGGCTCACACCTGTAATCCCAGCACTTTGGGAGGCCGAGGTCGGTGGGTCACCTGAGGTCAGGGGTTCAAGACCAGCCAGGCCAACACGGGAAACTCCATCTCTACTAAAAATACAAAATTTAGCCAGACATGATGGCGCATCCCTGTAATCCCAGCTACTTGGGAGGCTGAGGCAGGAGAGTCACTTGAACCTGGGAGATGGAGGCTGCAGTGAGCTGAGATCGCACCATTGCACTCTAACCTAGGTGACAGAGTGAGACTCCATCTCAAAAATAAATAAATAAGTAAATATCTGATGACAGTGGTTGTACAGAGGTGGGATCAGACAAGGCCACTACTGGCTCCAACAGAGTCATTGTACAAATTAGAAAAAAGTACCTACATTGGGTTATGCACTTGGAAAAGGGTCCTTCCTTCTCAGCTTGGCAAGGAAGAAACCCACCTGCACCCCTGACTGAGAACTACACTATAAGATAGGAACTCAGAGGAAAGGTGTTTAGTGAACTGTCTATTTTGTTTAAATTTACCACCAGGCTGGGCACGGTGGCTCACAGCTGCAATCCCAGCACTTTGGGATGCCAAGGTGAGCGGATCACGAGGTCAGGGGTTCAAGACCGGCCTGACCAACATGGTGAAACCCTGTCTCTACCAAAAATACCAAAATTAGCTGGGTGCGGTGGAGCACGCCTGTAATGCCAGCTACTCAGGAGACTGAGGCAGGAGAATTGCTTGAACCCAGGAGGCGGAGATTACTGTGAGCCAAGATTGCACCACTGCACTCCAGCCTGGGCAAAAGAACGAGACTCCATCTCCAAAAAAAAAAAAAATTTTACAACTATTTCACCTCTGCAGATCAGAAGGAGGGGAAAGAGTCTATTTGTCTCCCAGGCTGGAGTGCAGGAGCATAACATAGCTCACGGCAGCCTTGAATTCCTGGACTCAGGCAATCCTCTTGCCTCAGCCTCCCAAAGAGCCAAGATTAAAGGTGTGAGCCATGTGTCTGGCCCATATTTATCCCTTTTATAATGAAAATTAAGAAATGTGGCCAGGCGCGGTGGCTCACACCTGTAATCCGAGCACTTTGGGAGGCCGCAGCAGGTGGATCACCTGAGGTCAGGAGATCAAGACCAGCCTGACCAACATAGAGAAACCCCATCTCTACTAAAAATACAAAATTAGCAGGGTGTAGTGGCACATGCCTGTAATCCCAGGTACTTGAGAGGCTGAGGCAGAAGAATCACTAGAACCTGGGATGCGGAGGTTGAGGTGAGCCAATATTATGCCATTGCACTCCAGCCTGGGCATTTAGTGAAATTCCATCTCAAAAAAAGAAAAAAACAAAACAAAACTGCAGAACAAAAAAATACATGTTCCAAAATTCCCCTCAAGGCTAAGCCAGAATCTTCTGGCAAAAAAGAAATTAAGCATCATGGGAAGACAAGACCAGTTCAGCATCACCTGTAGTATTTCAGGTCATAAAGGCCTAGTGGAGCACTCCTTTATAATCAACACGCCTTCAAAAATTGATGCTGACACTCTCTCTTAAGACTCCATGACTGCACATTAACAGCGTCTTATCAGCAAATTAATAGCTTATTAATCTCGTTGTAATGAATGAGTCTTACACTTCATTCATGCCAGCAATATCATTATCTGATATAATTCTGGTCTAACTAGTCTTTTTACGTCTCAAAATGAAATGTCCCTGGATTCTAAATGGTACAAAATAGGATCATTTCAAAAGAAATAACTGTGATAATAAAAGAAAAAGCCATAGGTAAAGGGATAAAGTGAGAGCAAACAACTTACCTTGTCCCCGATGGCAGTGAAAGTTGTTCAAGTGAATCACCTCTTCATTGCTGTTTCCCTCTGCCATTTTCAAACGCAGACCTGCACATACGGGACTGCTAATATCTAAACATGGTGACCATCTGTTTCAAAAGGTCTGAAAAGGAAGCAAAGAGGAACAGTAAGAAAGAGGGAGTATCAAAACTCTTGCCATGTATCTGGTCAGGGAACATCTGAAGCTTATGCTGAAAACATTCCTTGGGAAAACACATCCAAGGAAGTACGTCAAAAAAAAAAAAAAAAAACCCACAAAAACTCAAAACGTATGTCATTAAAACATATTTTTAAAATACACATATTAAACAGACAAAGTACAGACAGATAATTTACATCTTGATACAAATATGCTAACAAAAAAATTGGCTAAGGGTACTAATAGGCAATTCACAAACAAGAAAACACAGATGCTCAACCTCACTAATAATCAGGGAAAGGCAAATCAGAAAATGAATTATGTTTCAGCCAGACGCAGTGGCTCACGCCTGTAATCCCAGCATTTTATGAGGCCGAGGCGGGCAGGTCACGAGGTCAGGAGTTTGACACCAGCCTGACCAACATGGTGAAATCCCAGCTCTACTAAAGTACAAAAATCAGCCGGGCATGGTGGTACGCACCTGTAATCCCAGCTACTCAGGACACTGTCGCAGGAGAATCGCTTCAATCAGGGAGGCGGAGGTTGCAATGAGCCAAGATCAGGTGGCTGCACTCCAGCCTGGGCAACAGAGTGAGACTCCTTCTCAAAAAGAAAAAAGAATTGTTTCAAACCACTGGTGTGGCAAAAAAGGCAAGCATGTAAGAAATGGGGAATCTTCTACATTGCTGGTTTGGAGAGTAACTTGGAAAAGATATTCTAAATAGCAATTAGCAATACACCCTAAATTACAAATGTACATCCCTGTGACTTAGCAATTCCACTTCCAGATATATTAGCTAAAGAAACCTCTGTGTGTTCTCCAAGAAATATGCATAATCGAATACATGGACAAGGAAGGTCATTACAGCAAATATGTAATAAAAGCAACTTGAAATGGCCTTACTGGACATCAGTAAAGGAATAAATAAAATTCATATGAGGATACAACACAGTTAAATTAACTAATGTTAAATGAAAACAAGTGTGATACCATTTATGTAAATTCTTACACAAATTTAAAATACATTATATTTAAATATTAAATTAAAAAATACAGCCAGGTGCGGTGGCACACACCTGTAATCCCAGCTCTTAGGGAGGCCGAGGCGGATGGATTACCTAAAGTGAGGAGTTCGAAACCAGCCTGGCCAACACGGTGAAACCCCAACTCTATTAAAAACACACATACAAACGCCGGGTGCGGCGGCTCACACCTGTAATCCCAGCGCTTTGGGAGGCCGAGGCGGGCGGATCACGAGGTCAGGAGATCGAGACCATCCTGGCTAACATGGTTAAATCCTATCTCTACCAAAAAATACAAAAAATTAGCCGGGTGCGGTGGCGGGCGCTTGTGGTCTCAGCTATTCGGGAGGCTGCGGCAGAATCGCTTGAACCCGGCAGGTGGAGCTTGCAGTGAGCCAAGATCGCGCCACTGCACTCCAGCCTGGGCGACAGAGTGAGACTCCGTCTCCAAAAAAAAAAAAAAAAAAAAAAGAAAAAGAAAAAGAAGAAGAAAAAGAAGAAGAAAGAAGAAAGAACGTTCTCTTTGCACGATCGAAGTACCTGGGACAACTGCTATCCAGGCCCTCAGGTATGCACAGAGCCCTGGCGGATTTGTCAGAAATTTCTGTAACCCGCACGCCGCGCACGCTACAGGGTTGGTTGCAAGTGGCCCAAAGTCTTGGATCCCTGGTCCCGTTACACCGGGAGCCGGGCCACCTCGACGCGGGGACAGCGGCCTAGCTCCCTGCCCAGCGCCCGGGCACCCGAGCCGGGCCAGCCCCCAGCGCCCCGTAAAAGGGTTTGACGCACTTGCGGCGCCCTCGCGAGTGCCCGGTGACAGTCGCCAACTTTCGCGGAACACCACCCGCTCCAGATGTGAGGGGAGAGGTGGAAAAACGCCGCCCGCCTGGGCTGGGGTTCACAGGGACCGGCCGCCTCCCGCCGCTTCTCCAGGTCGCGCTCGGGTGCACGGACCCCGCCTGCGTGGCAGCCTCGGGCCCTGGAGAGGGAAGCGCGGTCTCCCGGGCTGTCGCCCTCGCGCAGCCGACCCAAAGGGCCGGCCCGCGAAACTTCGCGAAGAGGCGGGAGGGGGTCGCCCGGCCGCTCAGCGCCTTTGTCGCTCCCGCCTCGCCTCCGCACGGGGCTCGAGACGCCCAGCCCAGTCCTTTGGCCCGATCCCGCCCGGACCTCGGCCCGCGCCCCTCAGCTCCACGGAGGCGTCCCGCAGAGAGGCCGCCTCGCCTCACAGACCCGCCCAGGAGCTCGAGTGCGCCCCGCGACTGACACTCACTCGCCACTCAACTCGCCGGCTAACCAGGTGGGTTCAGCGGCTTTCCCTACCGCGCCGCTTACTCTTTAGAAGCCGCAGCGGCAAGCTCCATCGCCGCCGCTGAAGCAGCAGCTACACTCCTTGCGGTCCTGCCGCGCCGTTACCTCGCTCCTGCGCACAGCGCCCCCTCCCGACTAAGGACAGGAAGAACCATAGAGGCACTACGGGTGCTGTGGAGGAGCGACCCGGGGGCTCACCATAGAGAGGGCCGCCTAGCCGCGCCTGCATCCGGGCTCTCCGCTTGCGGAGCCTTGACTCCCCCATCCCAGAACCCACAGGAGCCGCCGTCTCCCCAGAGCTTAAAAGGGTATGGGGCAGGTGGTTGTGGACGTTTACTCGATATCTACTTATTTGTCCTAATTGCTTTGGCAAGTCATTCATTCATTCTGCAGATATATTCTGTGGATTTCCTGTGGGCCACGCACTGTTCTAGGATTTGGGGAAATTAAGAGTAAAGTGGGTCCCGTGGCTGGGCACAGTGGTTCACGCCTGTAATCCCATCACTTAGGGAGGCCGAGGCACGGATCACTTGAGGTCTGACGTTGGAGACTAGCCTGGCCAACGTGGTGAAACCTCGTCTCTACCAAAAATAAAAAAATTAGCCAGGCTTGGTGGCGGATGCCTGTAATCCCAGCTACGCAGGAGGCTGAGGCAGGAAAATCACTTGAACTGGGGAGGCAGAGATTGTAGTGAGCCAAGATGGTGCCACTGCACTCCAGCCTGGGCAACAGAGCTACACTACATCTCAAAAAGAAAAAAAAAAAAAAAAAAAATATATATATATATATATATATATATAGAGAGAGAGAGAGAGAGAGAGAGAGAGAGAGAGAAATTGAGAGAGAGAGAAATGTGCTTCTGGCCTCAGGAAGTTTAGGTTTTAGTGGGCAAGTGAATAACTGACTAAAATACTGCTCCTGCTGGGCACAGTGGCTCATGTCCATAACCCCCGTGCTTTGGGAGGCCAAGGTAGGAGGATCGCTTGAGGCCAGGAGCTCAAGACCAGCCTTGGCAACATAGCAAGACCCCAACTCTTAAAATAATTGCTGGCCAGGTGCGGTGGCTCACACCTGTAATCCCAGCACTTTGGGAAGAAGCCGTGGCAGGCGGATCACTTGAAGTCAGGAGTTCGAGACCAGCCTGGTCAACATGGTGAAACCCCGTCTCTACTAAAAATACAAAAATTAGCTGGGCATGGTGGAGCGTGCCTGTAATCCCAGCTACTAGGGAGGCTGAGGCACAAGAATTGCTTGAACCCAGGTGGGGGAGGTTGCAGTGAGCCAAGATCAGGCCACTGCTCTCCAGCCTGGACAAGAGAGTGAGACTGTGTCTCAAAAAAAAAAAAAAAAAAAAAAAAAAAAAAAAAAAAATTGCCAAGTACACCTTTAAGTAGAGATGTCGTCAAGTCAGTAATTAGATAAATGAGTCTGGGCTGGGCACAGTGGCTTATACCTGTAATCCCAACACTTTGGGAAATAGAGGTGGGAGGATGGCTTGAAGCCAGGAGTTTGAGACCATCCTGGGCAATAGAGTGAAACCCCAGCTGTACAAAAATAAAAGTTAGCCAGGCATGGTGGTGTGCACCTGTAGTCCCAGCTACTCAGGAGGCTGAGGCAGGAGGATTGTTTGAGCCCAGGAGTCCGAGGCTGCGGTAGGCTATGATCGCACCACAGCAGTCCAGCCTGGATGACAGAACAACAGCCTGTCTCAAAAGAAACAAACAAAAACAAAACAGGGAAATGAGAGGAACAAGAGTCTTGATGTGGCAATGTGTGTTCCTTCTTTAAGAAAGTAGAGTGTGGCTTATGGGGGCTTGCATGGGACAGAAAAAGACCACTGCTTACAGTGCTCTGGGGAAGCAGTGTCCTGAGGGAATAGTCATGTTTCAGTGAAGTAGAAATTGAAGGGCTGCGGGCCGGGCGCGGTGGCTCAAGCCTGTAATCCCAGCACTTTGGGAGGCCGAGACGGGTGGATCACGAGGTCAGGAGATCGAGACCATCCTGGCTAACACGGTGAAACCCTGTCTATACTAAAAAATAAAAAAACTAGCCGGGTGAGGTGGCGGGCGCCTGTATTCCCAGCTACTCCGGAGGCTGAGGCAGGAGAATGGCGTGAACCCGGGAGGCGGCGCTTGCAGTGAGCTGAGATCCAGCCACTGCACTCCAGCATGGGCGACAGAGCGAGACTCCATCTCAAAAAAAAAAAAAGAAATTGAAGGGCTGCTTACAGAACAGGATGAGGATCTAGGGATCTTACAGATATCAGGCCCTGAGTTACAGGGTGCAGTGCATGGGAGACGTTAGATGGTGAACAGGAGAGAGAGCTTAAGATAGACACTTATCTGAGATGAGATCCTGGAATAACCTGGAAGGCATCTAAAACGAGGGCATTGGCCTTGATGAGCTTATTCTCCATGCTGGTCCTCTTGGGGAAGGTGGATAATCGCTGTCAGTTACAGCCTTCTTCTTAGGATGGTCCTCATAAACCCTTTGAGATGTTGGAAGAAGGCAGTATTGGAAGGAGAGCTTGGTGATCTTAGCAGGAGTGCAAGGTTCTTTCTGGACCCCTGAACCCCTCTGTGGTTGGTGTCACATCCAAGGCAAGTAAGCTCGAGTAACCTCTCTGAGTCTTGAATTTTTTATTTGTTTAGGCTCTTTGGAGACTCTGACTCAGACATGATGGCAATGAGAAGAGAGACTTTATGTATTTATGTATGTATTTATTTATTTTTGAGACGGGGTCTCCTTCCATCACCCAGGCTGGAGTGCAGTGGCACGATCTCGACTCATGGCAACCTCTGCCTCCCAGGTTCAAGTGATTCTGCTGGCTCAGCCTCCCGAATAGCTGGGACTACAGGCACCCACCATCACACCCGGCTAATTTTTAAAATAGTTTTTGTAGAGACGGAGTTTCCCCATGTTGGCCAGGCTGGTCTTGAACTCCTCACCTCAGGTGATCCGCCTGCCTTGGCCCAAAGTGCTGGGATTACAGGTGTGAGCCACCATGCCAAGCCTTTATTTTGAAGTTTAATTTAAAAAAATATTAATAGATAGCTAGGTGTGGTGACACACACCTGTAGTCCCAGCAACACAGGAGACTGAGGCAGGAGAATCACTTTAATCCAGGAGGCAGAGGTTGCAGTGAGCCGAGATTGCGCCACTGCATCCCAGCCTGGGTAACACAGCAAGACTTTGTCTCAAAAAAAAAAAAAAAAAAAATAATAATAATAGAAACAGACTTTCAGCTGGGCACAGTGGCTCACGCCTGTAATTCCAGCACTTTGGGACGCTGAGGCGGGCGGATCATGAGGTCAGGAGATCGAGACCATCCTGGCTAACACGGTGAAACCCAGTCTCTACTAAAAATACAAAAAAAAAAAAAAAAAAAAAAACAAATAACCAGAAGTGGTGGTGGGCACCTGTAGTCCCAGCTACTCTGGAGGCTGAGGCAGGAGAAGGGCGTGAAACCAGGAGGCGGAGCTTGCAGTGAGCCGAGATTATGCAACTGCACTCCAGCTTGAGCGACAGAGCAAGGCCCTCCTGTCTCAAAAAAAAAAAAAAAAAGAAACAGAATCTCACTTTGTTGCCGAGTCTGGTCTCGAACTCCTGGCTCCAAGTGATCCTTCCGTCTTGCCCTCCTAAAGTGGTGGCATTGCAGGTGTGAACTGCCACCTCTGCCTGGGAATTTTTTATTTGTAAAATGGGAATTTTAAGATATTATCTATTGCCCAGTGTTGTTGCAAGGATGAAATGGGATCATGTGTGAATTCAGAAGCTCTCGAAGGAGTTGTTCGTGTCTTAAGCATTTTCGGAGTCATAAAGACAATTATCCTATCTCTGCATATTTCCCAGTGAGGGCGAGAGGAAGCTATTCCCTCCTTCTAGGTTGTCTGGATCATTCTGGTTAATTTTGAAGCCTCTGACTTTTTTTTTTTGAGACAGGGTTTCACTCTTGTCACCCATGCTGGAATGCAATGGCATGATTTTGGCTCGCTGCAAACTCTGCCTCCCGGATTCAAGTGATTCTCGTGTCTCAGCCTCCCAAGTAGCTGAGATTACAGGTGCCTGCCACCACATCCGCCTAATTTTTGTATTTTCAGTAGAGACAGGGTTTCACCATTGTTGACCAAGCTAGTCTCGAACTCCTAACCTCAGGTGATCTGCCTGCTTCCGCCTCCCAAAGTGTTGGCATTACAGGCATGAGCCACTGTGCCCAGCCCTATTTTTCTTTTTTTTTTTTGTGGGGGTGGGGTGGGGTTGGGGTCTCACTCTGTCACCAAGGCTAGAGTGCAGGGACTCAATCAATCATAGTTCACTGCAGCCTTGACCTCCCAGGCTCAAGTGACCTCCCATCCCAGCCTCCTGAGTAGCTGGAAATACAGGTGTGTGCCACCACGCCCGGCTAATTTTTTAATATTTGTGTATAGATGGGGTCTCCTATGTTGCTCAGGTTGGTCTCAAACTGCTGGCCTCAAATGATCCTCCTGCCTCGGCCTCCCAAAGTGCTGAGATTATAGGCTTGAGCCACCGCACCTGGCTTGTTTTTGTTTGTTTTTTTGAGATGGAGTTTCGCTCTTGTTACCCAGGCTGGAGTGCAATGGTGTGATCTCGGCTCACTGCAACCTCTGCCGCCCAGGTTCAAGCAATTCTCCTGCCTCAGCCTCCCGAGTAGCTGGGATTATGGGCATGTGCCACCATGCCCAGCTAATTTTGTATTTTTAGTAGAGACAGGGTTTCTCCATGTTGGTCAGGCTGGTCTTGAACTCCTGACCTTAGGTGATCCACCTGCCTCGTCTTCCCAAAGTGCTGGGATTACAGGCGAGAGCCACCGTGCCCAGCCTGTTTTCTTTGTCTTAATGTTAACCAGCACCAACAATCAGAAAGGGCAAGATAGCTACCTGCAGAGTAAACTATTGTTGACAAGTGATGTTTTGCTGTTTTCCTGGGAAGAGCATGGAAGTTCCATCTATGAAAATCCATATGATCCATGCTGGCTGTAATTCCGTGCAGTTATGGCCAAAGGCGTGCAACATGCGCTCACCCCTTGAGCC